CAATTGATAATGCTTTGAGAAGTATAAAAGAAGGTGAGGAAAGATGATGTCTAGGTGCTAGCTGTACTTTAAAACCAGGAATAAGTTTTATGTTTGTCATCCTAAAAAAAATGTAATACTCTTTTATTATGATTTCTTTTACCTTGTTTGTTAATTGTTTTTGGTGTTTTATAAATTATAATAGACTTGGAAGAAACTTAACATCTTAAGGTGTATACTAGCAAAAAACACACTACCTCTTATGTAAATATGCCCTATGGAAATTTAAGTATTTATCACCATTAAAAGAGGCAGCCTCAAGAGGAGCTTTTTGGTATGCTTTTAATTCATATATAAATTTAAAGCATCATTATTTTAAAACCTCATGAGAAAGATTTTTATTTATTTTATGTTTCTGAGTTGAAGGGACATTAAGGACCATTACCACTTTCTACAATACCTATACCAAATGTGCTCTTAAAGATAGAATATTGTTATTTCTATAAAGGATTGTAGAGTAGGATGTATACTAGTAGCACCATAACTAATGGGATGAAGCTGATTTATCCTATGACACTTGAATATCTGATGTGGAGTTGAATCAGTTGCTTATCCTTTTCCAACAAGTTCATAAGGTGAATGATGTGAGTATTGGGTTGCAAGGTGGTGAGAATATGTTATATTACTTTTTATATTCCTTTCTCTCTCTTCCTTTTATGACTAGTTTCTCTTTCCTCTTCCTTTTGAGACTTTGGTATATTGTTCTAAGATCTAACAATATGATTGGTGGTTTTGATTGCTTCCATAGCCTCAATATATTGTACTAGGTGAAAGTGGTGCCCAAAGAAGACCATTACACAAGCTAACCATTCAGATAATGTAAAATAATATCAACCTCATATATGAGAGGAACTTAAAGAGTGGACTGAGGAATTTGTTGTTTTGGACCTGCTTAATGATTATCCAATATGGGTGTATCAAAGTGTTATAACAATGACTAACATGTCAAATTAGGCCATCAAATATAACATTTATTAGGCAATAATCTGGATTTCTAGGATATCATGCCACACCATGGACTTTGGCTGCCTACCACTTTGGGGCACATCAGATGCTAATAGTGTATAGCCATCATATAAACTGCTAGACTATTATCTACAGTAGGTTCTATGATACCTTCAGGGGATAGATCAAATTAGGTAGAGTGACATAAAGCCTTGCAATGGGGATTTTTGGGATCTCTTGATCGTGATGCTTCAAATAAGGTTTAACACATCACGAGCAGGATGCATGCTCTGGTGGTTTAAGTTAGAGAAGGGTCATGCCCTAAGATATGGCTTGGAAAACAGATTAGGGTCTTGGCGATCAAATGGAGTAGCATCCTAGGGAGAGTCTCATGATCCTTATAATAGGTGGTTTTAGCTTCATAGAGGAGTCACCCATAAGGACCATGAGTAGTACAAATTGTTTTGTAATGTTTTTAGTCCCTATGAATCAGGTTAGCCAAAAGAGAGAGGGAACAATGCACCATATATGACAATTGCTGGTTGTCAAACATTCACTCATATAAATCAATCGAACACTACAGGAGATTCAACCATCCTAGGAGCTAAAAGTCACTGGCATTGTTTCTTTCAAAGAATATCCAGATGGAGAAGCATGCATTTGGACAAGCCTGTGCATCATCCTTGGAATTTCACCCTCGGATCGGTTGTCTCCCTCTTCCTATGGCGATGATTCTTCCTTCTGGAGGGATTCCAGTGCTTCATCATCAGTGAACATTGCGAAGCAGGAGTTAATTCATGTCGCCCTCATCCTGGATCTCGCATCTGGAGCTCTTGATCCACTGGACATTGGCAAAGCCATCAAGGGGCGGGAGAGGATTTGGAAATGATTGGCAGGGATGGTGTCGTCAAATTCGTGAAATTCTGGCGAAAAACTGGGCGGCTGCTGAGAAATGCGATGCGCCTCCATCGTTTATCAGCTCCAGGGCCACCAAACAACCAACAAGGAGGATTTTTGCAAGGGCCGGCGTCTCCATTACACTTTCCAATATCAAAGATTTCCTCTACAGTGGATAGATTTGACAGCGTTTTAGTGACCATAGGAAACGCTCAGAAGTACACAAAAGTTTGTGCCAATTTAAATCTGAATATTTGCCATACAATGCTCCTTTTCTCCTTATTTAGATATTCAACAAGGTTAGAGCTATGGAGCATGCTGCTTGTGCAGAGAGGCTACCGCCATTGTTCTCACTGCAATTCTCGACAAAAGAGAAGATGTAACTTAAAGCAAGCGTTAGAATCCAGGGTTGGAGCCGACTAGTTTTGCCATCAGCATGGATGACATGGTATATTTTACTTTTCAGCATTTCCAGGCCTTTCCTTTTGTTTTTTCTTGTTGCAGCCAACAGATCGTGCCTGCATCGCATCCGAGTACACAGACAAATCCATCACCTTAAAGGTGACTCGTTGGATTTCGTCTACGTCGAATCGCATTATAAGATTCATGAACACGTTCACTTTTTTCCTTTCGGGAGCAATAGTGATGCTGTGAATTCTACCAGGTTGGGAGGCCTCTCTTGTTCGGCCCGGCCATCGATGGCGAACAAGGCGTGTGAAAGTGCTAGACATGCTCAAGCAGGAGCTGAGAAGCACCATGACAATTGCTGGTTGCCCAACACTCGCTCAAATAACCTGATCAAGCGTTCAAACGCCATCCAGCAAGCTCTAAATAACAATCGAGCATTCACTGCTTGCATTCTTTCTGTTCCTGTCAAGAAATATTGTGTGAGAAGAAAACATGTGATCTTTGATTGTCTGGTGGCATCGGCCACACGAAGTTCCGCCTCTCACAATCCTCGAACATGTTGATCCGCCATGGAACTTGCGCGATGATCTTGTCTGCGAGAGCACGACGGGCTCCTTCCGTAAGATCTGGTGAGCACGGTGCTGAGAGAGCACACGCCCCTCAGCAACCTCTTGTCATGTGGTTCAACGAGCTCGACAGATTCACGCCGCGCGATCAGGTGAGCTTCACGGTGGTTACGTCCTCCGGTACCCGATGGTGACCTCGGCCTCCTGGAACGCGGGGTCCGCGTGCTCGAAATGGTGTCACAGGAATCTCTCCTGGATCTGGAGCGGCTGGATGGGATCCGCCACGAACATTGCGAAGCAAACCGTCCTGGTGCTGGCCATGGTGCTGCTGGGCGGCTTGAGCACCGAAGCTCGCGTATGCGACCACGATTCCCCTGCAAACTCCCTGGTAATCCATGTCCGCCTCGTCCTGGATCTCGAATCCGGAGCCCATCGACTCAAAGGATCTCGAGATTCGCGCTCTTCCAGGCGCCAAATGGTGTGGAGTTTCGAGAGTTTGCTGCGCGGTGAGGCAATTGAGCGTCTCTGGGAAGATCTCTTGCGAGGGCAGCGCTTTGATCCATTGTCGTCAGCAGGGCAATTTCAAAGCCCAGGGGGCGGGAGAGGGAGGGATGAACAGCAGGGGAATTTCAAAGAAAGTATCTACGCATAGCAAAACATACATCTTAGACCGTATTTGATTATTAAGGGCTAATGTTACTAAAACCACAGGTCAAACCCAGCTTGTTTTTTTTGAACCAGATGCCACGCTGGCAGGTTGTAGCATAACGGCGGCAGTGGAACACCAAGCACCACCGCTACCGAAATACCCTCCTGTCTATAGGTAGAGACCACACACACGCTCTCTCAAAGTTTCTAGGTCATTCTTTCCCTTGCATCAAGCCAGCGATGGCAATCTCTGAGTCCTCTTCCGAGTCCGACTTGGTTCTTTCGCCAATTCCGAGCTCCGTCTTCGCAACTGCATTTCACGAGCACGCTAGCGACATCGATGGGCAGCTCCTCCTCGACCCGTCGTTCGTCGAATCTGTTTTCGATGGTGATGGGATGCTCATCGATGGTTTCTACACCGATTCTAGCTTCGCTTCATTTCTCGCTCCCACTCCTGCACTGCAGCCGCAAACTCTCTCTTCGCCTCTCAGCCTCAGCGATGAGAGCAGTAGCAGCCAGACTACTCTCGTCGAGGAGAACGGCCAGAACGTTCCTGTCAATCGCCAGCGCAGGCAGCGATCGGCGCGATCGCCCAAGTCGGGCCCGACGGAGAGGATGCTGGAAATCACACCGGACGAGCTCGCTTGCTACTATGCTATGCCCATCACGGAGGCGTCCAAGAAGCTCAAGGTCGGGCTCACGGTCCTCAAGAAGCGGTGCCGCGAGTTTGGGATCCCGCGGTGGCCGCATCGCAAGCTCAAGAGCCTGGATGGCCTCATTCACAATATACAGGTAACCATCGCGAGATCCTTTCTTCAACCCATGGGAAACATGGATGAAGAAAGGATCATTTCTTCATCCCGATTCCATTGATCCTTCTTTCATGTTTCTTTGATTTTTTCTCGATTCCATCTTCATCCCTGTATGTTTCTCGATTCCATGGATCCTCTCCATGTTTCTCTTTCATGTTTCTTATTCCATCTATCCTTTCTTCATCCCTGTATGTTTCTCGATTCCATGGATCGTCTCCATCTTTTGATATGTTTCTCGTGTCTACAGGAGCTGTCCAAAGAGAGCCCGAGCTCGGGGAAGAAGAAATTCGAGGACGCGGTGAGCGAGCTCGAGGTGCAGAAACGGAATATGCAAGCAAACCCCGCGGTTGATCTATCGGATGACACAAAGAGGCTTCGCCAGGCATGCTTCAAGCAGAGCTATAAGCAGCGCCGACAAGCTCTTGCCAGGCTTGAGGAAGACGACGAAGAATAAACAAAGAGCTTGGGGTGTGTTTTTTTTCTTCTTCGTGGTTCTTTCTCAAGTAGTTATTTCAAATGTCCAAAACGAAACTCTCCGTGTGATGATTGTTAGAATGATTAGCACCAAGAACTACCAAACGAAGACAAGTAGCTACATTCTTGCGCGAAAGGTGACGTTACATTCCTTTCGTTCCGAGAGAGAGAGAGAAAGATATTTAGGGCACGGAGTTTTAGGGCTCTGTTTTAGGGTTTTGCCGAAACAAGAAAAAGATCCTAGGCCCGTATATATTCTTCTTTTAGGGCAGTCAGTGCCAGGGCGAGCGCAAGTAGGCGGCGACACCACCGGCAAGCCTCCTGTGTGCTACTCGTTCCCCTCGCGCTCGCTAGCGGCGGCTAGGGTTTCAAGGATGAGTAGCGAGCAGGGCGCTGGAGGCGGCGGCAACGGCGGTGGCAAGGAGCAGCAGATTTCGGCCTTCTCGGTGGGGGATTTGGGCGGCGCGTTGCCTGGCGGCACTGGAAGTGAGTGTTCTTGGCTGGAATCCTCGAAATATTTTGCTCATTTTTGCTGTTTGTGGCAGCTTTCACCGCGGCGGACCGCGCGGGGCTCGTCAATGCGCTCAAGGTACGCTGTCCGGCACGGGATTTCTATGGTTAAGAATGGGAATGAAATTTCTTTATCAGGACAAACTCCAATATCTTGCTGGGCAGTCTTCAGGTTATGTGGAATCGCTGAGCCCGAAAGTGAAGAAGCGGGTCCAAGCACTGCAGGATTTGCAGGTTTGTGTTTTCATCGATGGGCTTTCTTTAACAATGGCTCTTTCACACAGAAACAACACGATGAGGTTGAGATGAAGTTTAGAGAGGAGAGGGCGATTTTGGAGGCAAAGTATCAGAAGCTTTATGCTCCCTTCTACGCGAAGGTATACTTTCTCAGTGGAATTGTCGACGAGACTTATTCTGTCCTGGTCACAGCGATTTGAAATTGTCACCGGTGCTGTGGATGTTGACGACAACAAGGGCGAGGCCGAAGCCGAAGCTAAGACCGAAGAAGGTTTGGCTAAGTTCCTTCTTTCACGGGTGTGTTCTTACCTTGTTTCTTCTTTATCTATTGTAGAGAATGGGGTCCCGGAATTCTGGCTCACGGCTATGAAGTCCAATGAAGTTCTGGGCATGCAAGTGGGTATCTCTTTAGATTCACCAGACCTGGTTTACTGACATTTCGATTTTTAGATTACTGAACGAGACGAGGGAGCACTAAAGTTCCTGAAGGAGATTAAGTGGTGCAACTTGGAAAGCCCGAAAGGGTTCCGTCTTGATTTTTACTTCGATACGAATCCCTACTTCAGGAATTCAGTGGTAAGTTGTTTTGTGGAATTCGTTCTCCGTCGGTTGATGCTAACAAATGAAGCGAAACAGCTGAGCAAGACGTACCACATGGTGGACGAGGACGAGCCTATCCTTGAGCGTGCTATCGGGTAGGATGTCGTGCTTTTCCTGTTGTTTCCCTGAAACAATGTTACAACAGGACGGAAATCGAGTGGCATGCCGGGAAGAATCTAACTCAGAAGATTTTGAAGAAGAAGCCAAAGAAGGGAGCGAAGAATACCAAGCCGGTCACAAAGACAGAACAGTGTGACAGCTTCTTCAACTTCTTCAGTCCGCCTCTAGTGCCAGACGACGATGACGACATCGATGCGACTGATGTAAGTTTTCGACTACGTACAGCACATAATGCGGATATAACATTTCTCCTTTCCTCTCGTTTCCTTTCTTCGGTTTGACAGGCTGAACAACTGCAGGACTTGATGGAACAGGACTACGAGATTGGGTGAGTGAAAGTGAAAAGTCCGTTTTCTGGTCGTCGCTAAGCTCTGGTGCTATGCAACTACAGATCGACCATCAAGGAGAAGATTATTCCCCACGCAGTTTCGTGGTTCACTGGCGAGGCCTTGCAAGGGGACGAGTATGAAGACGTGGATGACGAGAACGACACGGAAAGCGATGACGAGGAGGAGGACGATGAGGAGGAGGAGGATGAGGAGGACGAAGAGGAGGAAGACGAAGGAAGCGCACGCAAGGTAGAGTTTTGGTTTTCTTTATTCATCCATAGCTAAGATTCTTTGTCAATGTAGCCGGCGGCTCCTCGGACAAAGGCTGCGGTGAAGAAGCAGGCTAGTGGCGACCAGCCCCCAGAATGCAAGCAACAGTGACAAACCGGTTGTCATCCTACTCACAGGCAGTTTGGTATTTCCATTTGTTTTGGAGAGTCATGAAGTTTCTCGAATTTTTGTAGACGGCATCTATGTTTAAGTTCGATGATTTCTCTATGTTTGATGATCCAACTTGATTCAACAATTGCAAGAAACAAAATGGATTGATTGATTTTCAATCTATAGTAAAAACTTCCAAAACAAGAGATCCACGCTATTCGAACAAGCTAAATCCCATGTCCTGTAAGGCGAGGCAATTCTTTGTGTTAGCGCGCAAGAGAGAAGAAGGAAGCAACTTACGTCATCGGATTCCTCTTTCTCTTCCTCCTTTGGTGCTTCCTTGGCAGCCTCGGGGGCGGCGGCGGCGGAGGAGGCAGCGGGGGCAGCGGCCGCCACGGCGCCGCCAGCGCCGCCGCTGGGAACCGACGCAAACTTGTCCCTTCCCTCGGCGATTAGCTCCACAATGTCCTTGCCCTCGAGCTCGCTCATCAGATGCGAGAGCTTGGTCTCATCGGCCTCGGCTCCCACTGCGTTGGATCGTAAGATTCGTGTTACCTATCGATCGATGGCTTACCTGATGAGAGGATCCCCTTGATGTCGTCCGAGGAGGGGCACTCGTTCCCGCCCAACACCGCGAGGAGATATGCCGCAATCAGCTTCATTGTTGCCGGACGCCGCCTTCTTCCTTCTTGGAACCCTAAAACCTAGATGGAAGGTTTAGGGTTCGAATCTCAAGGGCAGTGTATCTGATGTGGCATTTTTTCTTGCTGATGTGGCAAACACGTCTGCGAGTGACGTGCCATGCGTACCACGTGACAGTGCGAGGAAGTGTGGGTCGGTCGCCGGCCAATCGAGTGCTGGTTGGGGCCGGCATGCCACGTGTCATGCTGTCTTTGTCTTTTGCTGTTTGAGACAACTTGTCGCTTGTGCTTTGATCTTCTTTCTCCGCTCGCAATCAGCTAAAGTTATCTAATGTAATGACGCTTGGCTTGAGGAGAAAAAAATGTAGGGCTGGGCGGTTCTCTAATGCACTTTGCTATGATTCTACAAATCTAGAAAACGATAGATATCATGCAACCAAGCAAGATCGAAAAAAAAACCCCCCAACATTGTTACCAAAGTTGATTTCTCTCTCCCCCATGCTTGAAAAGTTTCTCGAGATGGATGGGATTGACTCCTAGCCTATGGATCGTTCTTGTCACTTCCATACACCTAGAGTCTCAAAGCGTAAGATTCCCTGGGAATATAACACGTCTTGTTTAAGCAAGAAAAATCACTCACACTGTCGGTTGTAAAGGCATGCTGTCGGTTTTTGGGAGCGGGGGATCATTCATGGGTGGCATGAACCCTAAACTAGAAATATCTGCCATCTTTATGATGATTGTGAGAAGCTTCTTCCTTCAATCCCATGGAGACGCAAAGCCCCCCAAGGTGATAGATACGTACACGAATACACCTGAGAATCTCAAAGGAATACTTATACGGCGAGAGAGACGCCTGTGGGCCACGGGATTTTATGGACCTCTTTGATGTGTGCATTATAACCAACCCACCACCCAATTGATATGAATGGACACATTATGGCTAAGCTTTGGTTGCTTTTCAGTTGGTACGGAAAACCTTTGATCAAATGCTTCCTTTTTGTTTGGGAGTGTTAAAATTCACAAGGTTGGTTTGGTTGGTATTTCATGGATAGGCCACTTGACATATCATGGGGCCCATTCTCCGTCACGCGCAGCGTTTGCAGGACCCACGTTTCAACGGGGGTGGCCAGTTTTACGTGTACGGTACATATGAGAATATGCACGGGAATCTTTTCTTGTTTTTTTCTTTTCTTTTGGCGTGTGGAGCCCAAATGTTATGGCATGATTCCCCTCTCTCTTTCCCATTCTTGGAGCTAGCTAGATCGAAGTTGTGGAGAAAAGTTGGTATCCACAGACTTTATAAGAAGGTTGTGGAGAAAGGGGCGCACAAAGCAGCGTTGGAAAATATAATGTTCTTTTGATCTCCGCCGCGTTGTCCAACAGTCAAGTTGCTGCCCCCCTTTTTTTGCCTTTATTTTTTCTTAAAAGATTTCCATCTAGCGCCCGAAAAAGCATAGAATGGAAACATTGGATGAATGAATCGGAATATTGTTGTTGACTAATAGAAGGACTTGTTTCTTGTATATTGACGGGGGCCAACTTGGCAGTGAATGAGTGCCATGGATCTGATCATTTCATATCGCGTAAGGTAATTTCTTTATTTCCAATGAGATTGTTAGGGAGATCCCACACTCAAATGATGAAACCAAAGTGTTTGGGGCAGATGACTTCGCCCAAGAGATTTAAAAGTCAGCTCTAAACATTCCCTTCACGGGAAATTAGGGCAAACGGACAATTTTGAATATGAAACTCGCGCCGGAATTCAAATATTTAAATTCAAATTCCTCGCCTAAATTCTAGGGCTCAATTCTTTCTTTGTTGCTTGCTGGGAGAACGGGGGACCCGCGGAATTGTGTGGCCAATTCGCTCATTGTAAAGCATGATATCGAAAATGACCCGTCCACCCCCTCTCCGGGTTCTGGGTCTCTTTACACACGCGCTTTGCTAAAGACCCCGTCTTGCAATTCCTCTTCGGGTATGTGCTTCGGGCCCCACGCCAAACCGACCACTCACTTTACTCGCCGAGGACGCACAACTTGAACGCGTGGCGGGGCTGTGGCCGTCGGATGGACGATCCTACGCTACTCATTGCTTCGCCGTCCACCGTTCACCCCTTTCCGCCATCGCCGATACCTTCTTATAATGTTCTTCGCGCTCGTTTCGTGTTGATTTTTGTCCAGGCTCTCGCTCGATCAATCGCATTTCATCCCAAGGTTCTTTTGATTTTTTCTTTCGTTCTCGTTTGGTTTCGTTCTTGGTTCTTCGTGGTTCTTTCTCTTTTGATCGACGAGCATTCATTTCGGCCATTTTTTTCTTTTGATTTGTTCCTTTTTCTGGGATTTTAAACTTGGATCGTCGAGTGAGCGTGGCGACCCCTTGTGTTTCTTTTTCTCGCCGTGCTTGGCGTTGCAACTACCGTCAAGTTTAGCTCGTTCATTCTTTGGGTCGTGCTCAGCTCAGCACACATTAGTTTTTCTTCGCATGCGTGGCGCCACAATCTTTGGGATCAAGCGATCACTCTCATTTCCCTCTCGAAGGCCAATTCACAAGCTATACAACGCACGCAAGGACGAGTTCTTCTCTCCCGGAATTCTTACCTTCTTCGACTTCTAGGATCCAATCTCTCGCTCTCGCCGATTTTTATAAACTTTGTGGAATCGTCTACTGCATGAAAGCTGGGTCAACCGATCGATTTCTTGTGCTTCATTGATTGGAATTAAAATGGAGGGCAACAAATCTGTCCAGAAAGGCTAGTCTCCCTCGAACTTCTCATGGATATACCCAAGTTTTCATCTTTTTTTCTCTTGCAGATATGTCATCAAGCATCCAACTCAGTGGAACTTCTTCTGTTCCTCCTGGCTTTCGATTTCATCCCACCGACGAAGAACTCGTGGGTTACTACTTGGCCAAGAAAGTGGCCGCGAGCAAAATTGATTTGGATGTCATCCGCGAGATCGACTTGTACAAGCTGGAGCCATGGGATCTTCAAGGTAAGACGGTCATCCCTCAAGCTTCTCATTTCGGAAAAAAAAAACCGTTCTTTGGAAGTCTTTGCGTTCTAAATGTCTCTTCTCTCACTGCCATCGATGAATTGCGTTTGCCACACACAGAACGGTGCCGAATTGGCTCCGCGGAGCAGCACGAGTGGTACTTCTTCAGCCACAAAGACAAGAAATACCCGACCGGGACGAGGACCAACAGAGCCACCGGTGCAGGATTTTGGAAGGCCACTGGGCGAGACAAGCCAATCTTTGCTCGCGTCTCCAAATTGATCGGCATGAGGAAGACGCTGGTTTTCTACAAAGGTCGAGCTCCAAACGGGCAGAAATCGGACTGGATAATGCACGAGTATCGCCTGGAGGATGATATCAACAACACTGCAACAAACGTAAGCTAAAAAAAATGAGAGAGAGAGAGAGAAGAAGAAACTTTAGATATGATTCACTGTGTCAATTGTGTGATCGCTTCTCTCACTCTTATTTTGCAATGGCAGGAAGAAGGCTGGGTGGTCTGCCGAGTTTTCAGGAAACGCAACGTTGTCAAGAAGCCGAGCAGTGACTTCGACGGGGCCTGCTGCTACGATCCGGAAGAAAATATGGACAAGATGTATAGCAGCAACAGCAGTTTTGTCAAGCAAGAGTTGGAGAGCGCCGGTATCTACTTCCCATTTGCGTTTGATCACTCGCTGCCGCACCTCGAGAGCCCCAAGAGAGCAAGCCCCATGAGCTACAATCCTCCTCCGGAAGATCATGAGCACCACCACGATTTGATCAAAGCTTCCTCCTACATCGACAACGAGCTAGAAGAACTGGTCCACAAGACGTTTAGTGGCGGCGGAACACAGGCCCCGGCAGAGACTAGCTTTCATGGTTTCAGCGACGAAATGGTGCCGCCATCCTGGGAGGATCCCGAGAGAATGCTCTCCTCCCAAGTGGCTGGAGTTCACGAGGACGAGTTCTCCAAAGAATCACGGCTGGGCAACTTGGACAGTCTGGTGGAACGCATGAACAGGGGGCAGCAGCTGCAACAGCCAGATTACTCGTATGATGTTGATCTCTGGGGATTTACCAGGTAGCCCGCGGATGACATCACACAGGCCTGGATACTTTCTCTCTCCCCACTTCATCCAGTCGATCGATGAATCGAGCTTGTTTCTTTCTTGGTTTCCCAGAAGAGATGGATGAACTTCGTGCTGGTGGTTACTTATTATACTTTTCTCGACAAAACAGGTACCTTCCCATCCAGTTTGCTGGCTTTTGTTACGCCCTCCTCTCCGTTTCTCTTCCTTCGGTGGTTTCCTGGATTTCAGAGAGAGCCTGGAAGTGAATGAAACGAACGCTGTTTTCTGTCCTGCGCTGTGGATCACTTCCATATTATTATTATTATCAATATGTGATTATATTTTTATGACTAATTCAGCAATTGATCATGGTCAGTTTATATTCGTCCTTGAAGCATGAGATACTTGTAAAGGTACTTAGCCAGGAGCGGTACAGCATAGATTTATTAACTTTTTATTCATAGATTTAAATATATCTAGAAAAAATTTAGTAAATTGCAGTGTGGTACAGCGCTGTGGTAGGCCAAGAAAGGCAAAAACTGGTAGCAGCAAAGGAAGGAGAAAAGAAAAGAATGAAAAAGAATTTCTTGAAGTGGTAGTATGATTGAATTCGAGGCAGAGGTCAGCGTCATGCGGTGGGAGTTTGTCGATTGACACGGTTTGATGATGGCAGCCTCCAAAACTAAAAACCCCACATTACTTTTTAACCTCCACCACCTTTTGTATAAAAGATTAGGTTTTCTTCCTTTAAGCTGGCTAATGTTTCCAAAGGTATCACCACTGCTTTGCAGGCTTTGGGCATGCAAGAGACAAAGCCCTGCGCATGGCCTGGGAAGTGTCATATATTTATCGCTCTATAGCTCATGTTTTCAATCAGATTGTCTATGTCTATATATTATAGACCCCTTTGTAATGTACTGTTGCTCTTTTTTAATCCGTGCGGATCTTAGACGATGCTGATGATGACGAGCGAGCTCTTCGCGTGCATTTGCCATGTGCAAAAGCAGCACTCCCAGAGATCGATCGAATGGATTAGCAGTAACTTCCCCAAAAGCTGCGGTGCGATCTCTATAATAGACACGATGATTCATCAAGGTCACGGGAAGCACTAGTAGTTCTTGTTCTTGCAGGCCACGCCGATTGCTTCTCTCCCATTTTCTTGTTCTTGTTGTGAACACCGGACAAAAGGTGTCAATGTGGCAGAGAGACAAACTTCTCTGGAATCTAAGCTTGCCTGTCAGTTTTCTTCCAGACTTGGCTGTTCGAATCCATCGCAGCGATCAGAACCTGTCGTCTCAACCTTCACACTTTGCTGGGACAGGCTTTTCATTCCAGAGTGTCTGCTTCTTCCAAGTTTCCTATTAACAAAGTCCTTCAGGAATGAGAAGCTTCTAAACAAGATTTCCTGGCAGCTCACATTGGACGATCAGATTTACGACCAAGTAGCTACCAGGCAACTTTTTACAGAAACCAAACCTGAAAAATTCTTTGCTTCCTTCCGTGGGTTGATCCGTGGATTTGTAATGTAATGTGCTGAATGATGTTCTTGAAACCAATGAGCTACAACCATCAACAAAAGAAGCCAACTTTAGGCATAGTGTGGAGCCATGTTTTAACGTAAGAAACAATGAGAGTTTGTGAAACTTGTAGCAGCTAACTCTTCTGTTTCCTTCCTTCAAGAGGGATAAGGTCTCATTGCCAAAGTGAAGGATGGGACCCAAATCTACCTCTCTTTCATTATTAATCTATGGTGACCAAATTTTCCTCAGGTAAAATATACATACAGAAGACCTCTACATAATCTTATTTTGGATGGTTGTTCTTCCTGGCTATGCGGATGCGCGTCCTTGGGCAATTTCCTGATCTCGTTACATGTACGAACGCAATTACACTGCACAGCATTTTGGTAATTGCTCAGATACTAGAACTACCTCAATAGTGCTCATCTCAATGGCTTTGCTGAAGACTGTGGCATGGTTCTTATGCCAAATGGAACACATCAGAACTCAAGAAGACAAGGTGAAGAGAGTTAAAATCAATTAGACGACTTCATTTGGGCACAATAAGATTAGCATGAACATGTATATATATATATATATGAAAAGAGAAGGCTGGTTCTGGGTCTTACCAAGAATCACATATGCTGCATTGAGGGAGGAGAAAGAGGAAGATCTTGTGGATACATTACCAGAGTGGTCTTTGGATTTTGAGGAAGGGGAGATTAGGAGAAATCAAATGGATTAAAAATTACTATTCGAGATGTTGTTGTACTTTGATTTATAGCTTACTTTAGTTTATTTGAAGTTTATTTGAAGGTAAATATTACAATATCTTAAATACTAACATTTTCGGAGAAAAAGGTAAAAGATGAACTAATTTTAAATTACCTATATACTGTAGGTGAGTATATTTAGGGTTTTCATAATGGCTGGTGAGCTTGTCATGGCCAAGTTTCCTCCAGCTTCACTGATTCAATCAAGTTTTACAACTGGAGTTTGATGATGGCGAATGCGAGATTTAAAAATGAATATGCCATTATACCCTTTAAAACCCTAAATCCGACATTGCTGAACTCTCCAAACACTCATGCTGCTTCTGCAGATGGACACATTTTCCATGTCTAGCCTTTTCGTCTTCTAGATTGAAACATATGGTTGTATGTGCTTCTTTGGCTATCGAAGGTTTTTTTTTCCATCAGGAGAATGGATTGATCAAACTTTGAGGCTCATGGATTCGAATCAATTGGTGAGCTTTTTTTCTTATTCTCAGCTAAACCATTCACTATAGATACGAAGGTTGTGAGGGTGTTTGAGGCTCCCACCACATTTCTAGACACGCTCGATCTTCTCACAAGCTTGAGTAGTAACGAGGAGGTTAGGCACGTGGGAGCAAAAATGTCTGCACTCGCCTTGTCTAAAAAATCAATGCACACAGAAGGTTTGAGAAAAGAATGGTTCTCTCTTGCAAGCGATGCAAACCAGAATTCCTATCATCTAGTGACACCAATTACCTTGACGCTCACTCGTTCCATGGGGAAAAAAACCTGTAGTCAATCACATAGCACACTGGAGCTATAAGTCAGGTACTTCACTAATTTTCTTATTGACTACCCTTACAAACTCAGGCATGATGTATGGTGCTTTAACTGCAAAGGAATGCTTAAGTTTATTACTTACAAGGATATTTTTCTTGTTTTTATTGTTACCTCAATCTTTGTCTCCCAGGACTGTCTTCTTTGGCATCTGCGTCCTGTGAAGATCATCAAAGGCGCATGTCCCTAGAAGCTCTTCAGCACCAGAAACTCTGTCCAGTCGATTGTGCAAATCTCCTATGGATCCCAGCGACAATGACGAGTGTAAGTTTGTCTATTCTCTTTTGCTTCATTTTCAGTTTCTTCTTTTCTCAAGAAGGTACCATCTCTATCATTGAGGCAGCTGAAGGCATCCTTGCGTGTCATGGACAACTATGCGTTTCCAGACGATGAGAAGCAAGTTCCTTGATGCTCAATTTATTTCTTTTGCTTTGTTGCTGAGTCGTTTCTTTGGAGCGATGATACAAGTGTATGTTCTTGTCATTTAGATCATTGCTACATTCGCTGAAGACTACCCAAGCTTATGATATTACTGCTGCCTCAATATGCTTGAACGAGATCAACAGCATGGTTGCAACGCTGGCCGGCACTGTCCAGGATGAGGAGCACCAGTGATTAAAAGTGGAAATTACAAGCCAAAATTCCTAGAAAATAAAAGCATTTGGTGAGAATTGCTAATTATAATGCTTTTTTAAATAAAATAAAATAGAATCAAACGATGCCATTCCAAGCTTTCCAAGGACACGTGGACGGATGGGGTTTGACTATAACGCCGGGCCATCGAGGCCGCTGTTACATGCTGCGTCTAAAGCCCGGGGCCTCGCCACTCTTTCTCCTCGTCGAGGCGCTCATACCCTAGGCGGTCATGGCGATGGCTCCCCACGCACCAGCGGCGTCGGCATTCCTCGCCCAGTCGGAGCTCGTCCCAGCTCGCGATCTCGCCGCGCTTGGAGGAGGAGGAGGAGCTTCTTCGAATTCCCCGCTGCCGCCCGCGGGTCGCCTCAAGATTGGTGAGTTCTTCATGCAATGCATGCGCTTTTCCCTGGAAATTTCGGGCTTTTGATCGATCCCCACTGCCAGGCCGCGCTAGAAAATGCCGTGCCATGGCGTCGGCGGCCACCGCCGCGGCTCCAAAGCGCGAGACCGATCCCAAGAAGAGGGTGGTGATCACGGGAATGGGACTCGTCTCGGTGTTTGGAAACGATGTGGACACGTACTACGACAAGCTCCTGGATGGGCAGAGTGGAGTCGGGCTGATCGATCGCTTCGATGCCTCCCAGTTCCCTACCAAGTTTGCGGCACAGATTCGTGACTTCTCGGCGAAAGGCTACATTGATGGCAAGAACGATCGCCGGCTGGATGACTGCCTCAGGTATGGAATTGTTGGTGGAAAGAGAGCTCTGGAGCACGCTGATCTTGGAGGAGACAAGCTCGATAAGGTAGCAAACCTCTCTCTTTTGTTCTTGTTTTCTAAAGGAGCAATTTTTCTTACCAGGTTGACAAGCAAAGAGTGGGCGTACTCATTGGCTCCGGAATGGGAGGGCTCTCAGTTTTCTCTGATGGAGTCCAGTCGCTGATCGAGAAGGGATATAGACGGATCACTCCGTTTTTCATTCCTTACTCGATTACCAACATGGCATCGGCATTGCTGGCTATAGAGCTGGGACTTATGGGGCCAAACTACTCGATTTCTACTGCCTGTGCCACCTCGAATTACTGCTTCTATGCGGCAGCAAACTCCATTCGTAGAGGTGAAGCTGACGTGATGGTGGCCGGAGGCACCGAAGCAGCGATCATTCCAGTCGGCTTGGGTGGCTTTGTCGCATGCAGAGCGTTGTCGCAACGCAACTCCGATCCACAGACCGCGTCGAGACCGTGGGACAAAGGCCGAGAAGGATTTGTCATGGGTGAAGGCTCTGGAGTTTTGGTAAGTTCCGTGATGCTTTCTGTACTCGGTGATCGATTATAAGCTCTCTTTGCAGGTGATGGAGAGCCTAGAGCATGCCATGAAGCGTGGAGCGCCAATCTATGGCGAGTATCTTGGTGGTGCGGTAACTTGCGACGCTCACCACATGACAGATCCTCGGGCGGATGGTCTGGGCGTGTCAACTTGCATCTCGAAAAGCCTCGAAGATGCCGGAGTTTCTCCCGAGGAGGTAAAAGACATTTCTTTTTTGTTTCTTATAAAGACATTTCGCCATTTTTTTGTCGCCTGCGACTTTGTCCAGGTAAATTACATCAACGCTCATGCTACTTCAACGGTGGTCGGCGACTTGGCCGAGATCAATGCCATCAAGAAGGTCTTCAGCGAATCCAGCGACATAAAGATAAATGCAACAAAGGTTAGTAGCATATCGTATTCTTGCAGATACGTTATCAAAAATCTATTTGATGCAGTCTATGATCGGCCACTGTCTCGGGGCCGCTGGTGGACTGGAGGCGATTGCCGTGATCAAAGCCATTACCACTGGCTGGCTCCATCCTTCAATCAACCAATTCGTAAGCTTTTGCTGCTACTTAAGTTAAACACTGCCTCGTTTTTCTCCTTTGTCTAGGACCCAGAGCCCTCCGTGCCATTTGATCGCGTCGCAAACGTGAAGAAACAGCACGAAGTAAACGTTGGTGAGTCGCAATTTGCGTTTCTCTCTCTCGAAGCTAGTGTGCTCACGTTCAAATTTTGTGCAGCTATTTCGAACTCGTTTGGATTCGGTGGACACAATTCCGTCGTTGTCTTCGCTCCATTCAAGCCTTGAACGCTAAGAACCTGAAAGAAAGAGAGGGGAGGATCACACACTACAGCACACGGCTGCTCGCAGCAAGCTTCATTTTTGTTAGAGAACAGACCGATGACAGCAGAATAAAGAGCGGATAAATTCTTTGAAAGAAATCTTCCTTCGAGGTATCGAAATCCCTTCGTGACTGTGCGCCCCGCGCGAGGAAGACGCGAACGGAACTTGCAAAGGCTCGGGACATGAAATTGGCTGCCCTGCGTGTTGTTACGGTAGTATAGATTTTGTGAGGAGGATCTCTTTGAGAATTTTGCCACCTTTAGGTGAATCACCGAATGAGCTGATGATAGCACGTCAAGAACTAGTTTTTGTTTAGGTTATTAGAGCGAAGAAAATGCCGCTCTTTGACGCGCACTGCCACTTGCATGATCCGCGAGTGGCGCACTGTGTGCCGCAGCTCATCCAATCTGCCGCGGACGCCGGAGTGCGCTGGTTTGCGGTGAATGGCACCTCCGAGGTAAATCCATCTCTAGTTTCTCCTTGTTGGATAAGAACCTGTTCATTTCTAGGAGGATTGGACGACAGTCAAGACGCTGGGCGAGAGCCACTCATCCGTGGTTCCAAACTATGGCCTCCATCCATGGTATTCTTCTTTAGATTCTCTCTGTGGAGCGAAAATTCTAGCCACTGCTGAGCTTTCTTTCTTGCCTTATTCTTTGCTGACTGCTTGCTCTAAAGTTTTAGAAGAATTCTGTCGAGTTCTAAAAAAGCACACTGTTCTTCGTGAAGTGGTATCAAAAAAATTTCTTGCTTGGCGTTCGCAGGTATGTCAGCTCTCGATCATCGGACTGGCTGTCAAATCTAAAGTCGATGCTTTCTTCGGATCCTTCCGCTGCTGTGGGGGAGGTATAACTTGTTCTTGATGACAATGTTTTTCCTTGTAGAAAACGTTTGCCGGCTTGTCAAGGTGGGGCTTGACATGGGAACCCGTGGAAAGCAAACTGACGAAAGCACTCAGGTGCGCTCTTTCCTTCGAAGACTTTTCTTGTTTCTTAGAATCTGGTGAAACCAGATTGAAGTTTTAAAGCAGCAACTTGAGCTAGCTCGAGAAATTCATCGGCCGGTGTCTGTGCACTGCGTCCGGGCATTCGGACAGCTTCAGCATCTTCTCAAGTAAGAATTCTTTTCTTTTCTCCCTCGCCGTTTGCTTCTCTACGTTGAGCTATCATACGTCAAAACAGGGAGATGGGCGATTTCCCCGACGGCGTCATTTTGCACTCGTTTCTCGGTACAGCCGAGATGGTGAAGCCCTTTGCAAGGCACGGCTGCTACTTTTCCTTCTCCGGCTTTCTAACGAGCATGAAGGAACAAAAAGCAAGGAAAATGCTAGCAGAAGTAAGTTCTCTATAAGCCATGTTCTTCTACATGTTTATGCTTACCTCGAGCTCAGGTGCCAATGGATCGAATTCTTCTGGAAACAGACGCTCCCGACGCGCTCCCTGTTGTGGATTCCAGCATGCTCTCGTGGATCCCAGACGATCCTGCGGGATCTCCAGCCGACGAGAGCCTGGAGGAGCTTGCAAAGTCGAAAGCTCTAAACCATCCTGCCAACATACTCTCGGTAAGAGCAAGGAAAACATCACAGGCCATGTCTATGTATATATGTTTTCAGGTGCTTTCATGGGTGTCTCAACTCAAGGGCCTCTCGAAAGACGAGCTCTCAGCTGCCAGCTTCAAGAATGCCAAACGTGTATTTAGCTACGAGGGTTCCAAAGTAAATTAAAGAAAAAAGAAAGAAAAAACCAAAAGAAATGCCCAATACAGGTAAAGTTGGACTGACATTGCAGAACAAGCAACACTTGCATCTGGAAGCTACCAATTCAATTATTTCTAATATATTCAATGTTTTTTACTTGTAAGGGATTAGTTTCTGATTATTTGAATATTTTTAGTTTAAATTAAATTAAATTAAACTTTATTAATATATTTATAAATAATGCAATAAAATAAATAATAGAAAAGGAAAGTTAAATCTAATTGTAGTTGCAAGAGTGTTTTCATTAATTCAAAATATTTACTCTAACAAAATAAATTTAGCCTAGCTCTTGAATATTTCTTATTGAATTATATTAAATAAATTAAATTAAAATATAATAAGATGGTATAATAAATTTAGTGTAAATTATGATTTATTTATATTTTAATAGTTTTATTTAGCATTTAAAGAAGTAACTACGGTGAAATAAACATGTCTGCGAAGATGCGGACTACCCGCACCCGGACAAAAAAAATTAATTTGTATAAATTGGAATAAATATATTATAAATAATGAAAAAATTTCACTAATTTCTAAAAGAATTAATAATAATGAGTGACAAAAAAATTTATTTACTTTTAACATTTATACTGATTGCTACTTCAAATATATATATAAAGGAGTTGAGAGGTTATAGGCCAAGAATGAAAATAGAGTTTTTCTGAGTTGAAATGTTTTTTAAGTGATTTTGAATTATATTTTATTTGAAGAATGTAGGTTATGGAATTAAGCAAAAAATATTTTTAATTATAATAAAATTATAAAATATTATGGTAATGGAAATATCATGACGATAAGGCATTATAAATTAAAATAAAAATTATTTAGCATCAGATTCGGATGTCTATATTAATGATAGTTGTTGGAAATAAAAATGATAAACATATACATATGAAAATTTGACCAATTATTTTCTTTCTTGCCTATAAATTACTTATATTTAATATGTCACTCTTAATTTTTCTTTATTGTAGAATAATATTAAAAAATTTAATAGCATAAAATATATTATTAATTATAAATCTGCTTTGGAGTGGTTGAGTATGCTAATTATGCTTAATCTAATGTTTAAATCGTTGCTAGTCTTACTTTTTTTTTGTACTAGTCAAGCTATCTCTATCTTCCCACTCGAGCACCTCCACAAATGGTCGAGTGGGCAAATAAATTTCCGGAGTCATCTACCAGGAGGAAATACAACGATTTGGAGCTTTAACAACAGCAGGTAAATCTTTTGATCCTTCCTGCTCATCAATGAATGGCTTGATTGCATTGATATTTTCTTCCACAATCTAGCAAAAGAAAGCTTAGTTATAGCAGAGTATGCTTCGCGTGCAGCCATCACCAGACTTGGTTCTCTTTGGATCCAGCTTTTCTAGTCGTTACTAGCGGTTTTTTTCCTTTCTTTCCTGCCTTGATTGGCTGACTTCTTGCTCTAGAGTTTGTAGAGTTTCTCTAGGTTGAAGAATTTCTGTCAGAAGCACAAAGTCTTTTCTTGCCTCGATCATGGGACCGGCTGTCCTAAAGTGGATTGCTGTTGGAAAGGTGTAACTTGTTCTTCATGACAGTGTTTCTTCTTGTAGAAAACGTTTTTGCGACAGGGTGACGAAAGCACCCAGTTATGTGCGCTCTTTCCTTCGAAGAGTTTTCTAAGTCTTAAAGCAGCAACTTGAGCTTCATCTGCCGGCGTCTATGCGCTGTGTCCGGGCATTGGCAACATCTTCTCAAGAAACTCTTGCTATTCTATGTTTTCTTTTGTCGCTCGCCATTTGACGTCAAAAGGGAGAGATAACAGGGAGATGGGAGATTTCCCCGATGGCGTAGTTTTGCACTCGTTTCTCAGTAGAGCCGAGATGTTGAAGCCCTTTGTAAGGCAAGGCTGCTACTTCTTCTTCTTCGGCTTTTTACAAGTATGAAGAAAGAAAAAGCAAGGAAAATGCTGGCAGAATTAAGTTCTCTACAGTTTATGTTCACGCCAATGGATTGGAAACCGACTCGGCTCGCACGTCAGACGATCCCGCGGGATGAGAGCCTAGACGAAACTAAACGGCTTGCATACTCTCGGTAAGATAAAGGAAAGCATCAAAGTATATGTACAAGGCACTTCAAGTGTGTATTTATCAAGGAAACCCCTAGCATACCAATCTCCGTCAACTTTTCGTCCCTTCACAGAGGAAATGGTTACAAGGTATTTGGTATTACACGTTCTTTAAAAGCTTCTAAATCGTCCAGTGTCTCTTATGGCTTTTGTGCTTCTACCGTTCTCCGAATGGCGATCCTCGTTCTCTGTTCGTCGTATGAGAGATCTCTGAATTTCTACCGCCTGATTGTCGGAAGAGTGATTCTGGTCCACTGTCCACAAGAGTAAATTCTTCTTAGCGTGACCGGCGATAGCAGAGATTGTGCCTTACCAGCGTCAAAAAGACCAAAGTCCTCATCATCAACGTGGCTCGTGAAAATTGGCTTGAGAAAGTTTTTGTCGAAGGCTGTGAAAGGCGAGCTGTGAAAGAAAATGGTCAGCACAAACTATAGGGAAGTAACAGTCTTTCCTTACGTTAGATATCTCGAGCTTGTCGGGCTATGAAGCTCCAAATTATTGTCGTTTCCAATCTGCGCATAAAAGAGGCCCTTTCTTCCAATCTAAATAGTGAAAGGCAGCTCACCTCTACATTTAGAGCCGCATAATCATCCCCAACGACTTCCAGCTTTTCCAGCATTGTTGATGTTGAGCCTCCAATGAAGAGGACCTATGAAGATTGCTGAATTTCGTAGGAAAACGCGAAATATACATACCGTGACAACGACAATAGCTGTTGTAGTGGTGAATATCGTCTCACCATTAGATTTTGTTGGTAAATCACGCTTGCTCTGCAAAGCCAACCCGAACGCCATGGCGCCTCGCAAGCCTATCAATAAAAACCATCAGTTAAGATCACAATTGCCGTGCTTAACAGCTCCGTACCGCTAAACCAAAGGGCCTTCTGATGCTTGAGAGGTATTTTCCTTGCAACAGGCCGGATCAAGTTGATCAAGTATGCGCAAGGAAACACGTTAGCTGCTCTGGAAAAACAATAGCATTAGCAATGTAAAATCTTCCACGAGAAATACCTTGCTGCCAGGATAAACACCTGCAGGTGCCCTCTCAGTCAAGGAACACGTCCAAGAATAAATAGCAAAACGAGAAAGGATACAATAGAGAAAAAGATGAATCCCACGTGAGACCAGGTATGACTTTCGGTCGCAATATCCAGGCCCATGTAGATGAACCTGAAATTAAGGGTAAAACTCGGAGAAATATAAGGAGGACTCACAAAAATGTTTCTGCCAAAGACGAGATTAATTGGAAAAATCCTCGCGTAAAAGCTTGAGCAGGTTCAGACAGGTTTTGAAACGCATAATGCTTCATGAGCTGCTAGAAGGCATTAGAGGTGAAACCTAAAGACCACAAACTCACAATGCCACAAAAGAGAATGGCTATGATTCCCGAAAGTCCAAGCCCTTCCGCTAGCATGAACCTGGAAAACAAGCATAGGATCTTGTGTAATGCTGGAAAAAAAACTTACGAAAAGTACGGGAAAAGGACGAACAGACAGCATTCCAGATTATGAAGGCTGCAGCACAAAAGCCCAATATTTAGAATGTATATCTGTTCAACAAGTATACTACCTGTTGACAGAAAGCCCAGCGTACTTGAATAGGTGTTCTGCTGTCAAGGAATTGACACATAAAAAGAAAGAAAACAAACGATTTCCAAGGATATCAAAGCGCAGCATAATGCGACAACAACACCTGTAAAATCAACAGCATAAGGCAGAGACACGAATCAAGCAAACTAACCTGTTCCCATAGATCCTACGAACGTCTGCAAAAAGCTCGAAACAGCAACCGTGAAGCTGTAGTTTGCGGAAGGATCATGCCAAAACTTCATTAACGTCCTGCATTCAACTGTAACTAAAGTCCCGGAAATTTTGTGAAGACGACTTACTTGTAAAGCGCAATAGCCATCTGCGCAAAATCAGAAATAAGATAGAAACATTAGAGAATGGGTCCAAGCCTGACTAACTTACAGCATCATTCAAGACAGACTCTCCAAAGACAAGAGCATACAAGTTCATATCAGTCCCGAGCTCCTGAAAAGAGAGTCAGTTTGGACAAACTAGAAAGTAGCTATGGACATACTTGGAAGATTGCAAGTACGGTCACAGGATCGGTAGCTGAAATTAAAGAACCGAACAGCAAGCTTTCAAGGAATGAGAGTTTGTACATGAGAAAAAATAGTCCTCCAAGGAAACTGCAAAACACACAATGTAAATTACTCAAGCAGCACGGGTAAGCATAGTACGTACACCAAAATTCCTGTCACCATGGAGGCCACGAAAGTTCCCACAATCGCAAATACGCAAATCGCTCCAAAGTTTGAAAAGAACGGTTTCTGGTACATCCGAGTGTCGTCAGCGCAATAGAATTTATTCTTCCCTGACGTAGAGAAGAAAGCTACTTACAGCATAAAGGTTGAAGCCTGACTGGGTGATTCTGTGTGTCAAGGATCACTAGATTTCACTGTGAACATGCTGACAAAAAGGATATAATATGATCGGCGGGAGAAGGAACAAGAAAAAGAACTCCTCGTTGAAGTTAAACCATCTCCTGCGATCGAGGATCAATGAAACTTTGCAAACAAGAGAGCAGTCCATACTTGAAACTCATCTCCTTGTTTGAGACGTTGGCGATCCCTCCCACGATGATGCCTAATTGGACAAGAATTGAGAGAGGGAAGAAAATATCGAGAAAATATCTAGAGATTCTGAGAATGCTGGCACACGAACCTATGAGCAGCGAGGCGCTGGCTTCGTGGAGATAGTAGAATTTGTGGCGGCGAAGGACATGGCCGAGGACGAAGGCGAATCCCAGCATCACGATCTGCAAGAGCAAGCTGAGGCCGGCTACCTGGTGCTGCTCGATCGCGGCCTCGGAAGCCATAGCGAGCTCCTCGCCGTGCTGCGCCATGGGATTGGCGATGACGCCGCGAGAGATCTTTAGGCGCACCAAACCCTAGCTCCTCGTCGCTCCCCCATTCAAACACAAAGTTCGTGCCAACGCGAAACACTCGGAATCAAAGCAGGGAGCTTCTCTTTAGCGTACGGAAAAACGTACGAGTCAAGGCGGCGATCCCAGCCGTTGGCTATTCCGCAACGTGCCGGCATTGTAACCGTCCAGATTCCACCACTCGCCACCTGAGTTCTCCCAAATTCTGGGAAGCTGTGTATCACGAAATAAGCACAAGCGAACTCGAATCGAGAACTTATTTTTCATCAACCTGGAACAACTGAGAAATTTTTTGAGAGTTTAGTCCGTAAACCTGGAAGAAAAAAAGTAAAATACATACACTTGGCTTGATCCAATCGATTTGGAAGCAATAGCTTGCTTCTGGCTGTCGATTTACTCATCCTCTGTTTTCTCACTTCCGCAACCCGTGACGTTTCAGTAAGCTTGGTACAATCCCAGCGAAGATTTCTCACGTTCCTGGACTCTTTTCCTGGCGGCCTCTCGCTCCGCTTGAGCTCTGGCCTCCTCGGTCGAGTTTTGCTTCCGGTTGTCTCTCTTTCTCTTGTTGTTGTTGTTGTTGGCGGCTGCTGCTGTGACCGCGAATGCCGAGGGCCTCCCCTTCACGTCGGCTGCTGGTTGAGGCTTGGACGATCCCAGTTTGCCAGGCACAGGAGGAAGGTTTTTCTTTGAAACAGTAGCACCGGATGATTTGGAAAGCCTGGCTGCTTTAAGAGCTTCTGCTTCGGTTGTCCATTGTCCTATTGTTTGCACACTCAAGAAGTCAGACTTGGAAAAGGAAAGAACAAAACGTATCCTCACCTAGAACATCGCTATAGTAAAAACCAGACTTCGGGTCGAAGTAGTGACCAGTAGCTGGATTGAACTGGTAGCCTGTAGCAGAATCACTGAACCATTCTACACAAGGGAGGAGAAACATTAACAGTAAGAAAACCACGAAAAACGAGGAAAAAAAGGAGAGAATCAAAAGCCTACCTTGCTTAGCTTCTTCGATCTGAGAACGTTGAGCTACTGTGCTCTTGCCACTGTAAGTATGTTGGCTTCCAGATGTTGTACACTCGTAAATCTTGGAGGCCGTCAGCGTTGGAGTCGCCAGAGAACTATTGCCATCGGCAATGTCATTCTGGTACTTCCTCACTGCTTTCTAAAAGGAAACAAAGAAAAACCACTTAAGTAGTGGGACGAACACAAAAGCACTGCTCCAGAAAGAAAAGGAAAAACTCCTTGACTTACAGATTCGATGTGTTCCAGCTCTTTAATCGATCGTAGCTCCTCCTTCTCCTTGTTAATGCTGTCCTTGTGGATCTTCGAAACCTTCTTCGCGACATTGTCCTTGTGCCGCAGCCCCAGCTCGTGCGATCGGATGCTCACGGCATTGTTTGCAATGAAAATCCGGCAAAACTCGCACCATTTGTTCCCCTGGCTCACCCAGTACTGCGCCCACACGATTTCCATTCAAGATCTAGTCGAGAATCGAGCAGCCAAGCAGCGATCTTACCTCCGTCATAGCTTCTCCCCAGAGTCGCGAATATTTGCCCTAGCCAGGGAAATTAGGGTTTAGCGCATTAAATGGCGCCCCGGAAGAACACTGTTAACAGCCGGGAAGGAAGCGCGAGGCGATCTGGTGAGTGGCGCCACTGCCGCATTCTCGTCTTTCGTTGATCGATCGTTTCAGGGACAGGGATCTTGAGCGTGGGATGAGATCGCCATGGGCTGATCGCCATGGAGGAGAGTTTTTTCTCCCAGATAAGGCAGGAGATTGCGGACGAGTATGAGAAGAGGAATGCCAAGCTTGCCGAGTGCTTGCGATCCATGGAAGGTGTCTATGACAAGCAAAAGCAGGATTTCCAGAAGAAGCAAACCTCGCTCGAGGCGGAGAACAAAGAGCTCAAGAAAAGGCTAGAGATGGGTTTTTCGCTCGGACCCGGGCCAAAATCCAAGCACGATGGGCTGCACGACGGAGAACCCAGGCGAGTCAAAGTAAAGTTCTTGGCGCGCTCTCGGTTGTTCTTGGGAGATAGGAACTTCTTCTCCTTCCTCTTAGAGAGTTTTCTTTCTTGAGTTCTTTTGTTCTTCGCGAAACTAACGAACGTGGAGTTTTCTTTGTTGCAGGAACTCGAAAGCAAGATTCGAGAATTAAACCAGGAGCTCCAGAAAAAGGAAGAACTGACTGGTTACCGAAGAAAGAGAGACGACTGGGCGAAGTTGAAGCTCGAGGCCGAGGTGAAAGCTCTCCGCAAGAAAGCCACGGTTGGATGGATGCTTGGAAGTCTATGGGGCGAGTAACACTTTTTCCGTCTTTGCTCTTTTATTTTCTTTCCTCCATTCGTAGCCAGCTCTTGCCTCATTGAAAAATAGTGTTCTTTGTGTCTCCTCGTTTGCGCAGAAGTGAGCCTCCAGGGTGACGACCTTGGAGAAACCATATCCATGGTGAAAATGCTGAGGAAGCTACAGAAGGACCTGGAACGCGAAAGCTGGAACGTCACGGGTGGAAGCACCGATGCTCTGGACAAAGATGTGCAAGTTCTCCTGGACAATGTTCATGCGGTCATTCAGAAATCTGGAGTCCCAGTTAAGGTACAATCACTTTCTTCGCTTTCTTTTAGAATTTTTTTGTTCTTGTTTATACGTTTCTAGATCTCCCTTTCAGCCACTCTCAAGTTTGGTCTTGTTTTCTTGTTGAAACTGATCGTTCAAGATCACGTCCAGAATGAAATCATGTTTATTTTTTTGTTTTTTCAGAGCAGTAAAAAGGACGAAAGCTCTCAGGCGCCGACGTCTCCCACTGCGGAACGCATGTAAGCTAAGCAGTCGCAGTGCCGTGCCTTGCAAAACACTCATGCACGATATGATCTCTCACACTTTTTTCTTTATCTTTTCGTGCCAGGGCCAGAATCGGCCTCGTCATGTCCCCTCGATCTCCGGCCTCTCCGGCCTCTCCGGCCACTCCAAAGTCTCCGAGAAGATCAGTCCCTTCCACTTCCGTGAGCTTTGCGAAGGAGAAAGAGAAGGAAAGAGACAGAGACGTGCCAAGCGCGCTAGCAAACACGCTCCTCGAGATGCACAACTTATGCGAGGATCCGGAAGTCCAAGGCAAGGGCCGGGGTGATATCAAGCAAATGCTCTCCAGCATCGACGCAAACATCAGAGCTCTGCTCGAGTCCGAAAAGAAGCGCACCACTGCGAACAGTGACAATCCAGTTGGAAAGCCAAGCTCGCCACCAACAAAAACCGTGTGGAAAGGATGAAAAAAAAACAGCTTTTTTTCTTCGCCAAGATGAAGAACACTCGTTTAGAAGCTCATGGAAGTATTGTCCTTCGATTAAAGCTCTAGAACAACCATGCGTGCGATCAAAGTCAGAAACAAGCGAAAGAAGTTCTTACCGAGCATGGAGTCCTTCCATTCTCCTCGCCTTCCTGAAAAAAAAAAAAGTTCGCCAAGAACACTAGTTTTGAAGCTCATGGAAGTATTGTCCTTCGATTAAACTCTGAAACTATAATCATTTTGGTACTAGTTTATCAAATATGTTAGTGTTCTACTTTAACCATGCAATCAAAGTCAGGCTTGCTTGCATGGGTGACACTGCTCATTACTTAGCGAATGGAAGCAAAGGAAGTTTTTACCGAGCATGGAGTTCTTCCATCCTGCTCGTCTCCTCCTCCTCCTCCTTTCGATCTTAAGTCCACTCTCCCTGCTTAGCAGCGATGGAGGCCACAAGTGCACGCCTTGGAGTTCCTGCTGGCCAAGCTCCACACTCTGGTCGGCTTTCAATCGCTCCATCGATGGCCGCCTCCTCGCACCAAAGCCATACGCCTGGCCGTGCCACACTCCGCAATACGATCCGGCCGCTTGCAGCGCTGCTAGGCAGCTCCAAAACAATCCCTTCGCGCGAAGCGACGTGGTCGGGGCCATGCAAACTCCAACCTGGGAGTCGGGCATCGCTGGTCTCGGCTGTCCGCTGAATGGAAGCGGCGCTCTTTCCACTCCCTGCTACCAGGACCAAGTCTCCGCGTACGCCATCAACGTCTCCAGCGTCTCTCACGTCCAGGCCGGAGTTCTCTTCGCGCGAAAGTTTAACTTGCGGCTGGTGATCAAGTCCACCGGGCATGACTACTTTGGCCGGAGCACTGCCGCTGGTTCCCTGTGTATCTGGCTCCACCACCTCACGGACATCTTCACGGACGATTCCTTCGTTCCCGAGAGTTGTCCGGGGAGTGATCCGCTCGCTGCTGTGACTGCCCAGCCTGGAGTAACTTGGAAGTCTCTCTATGATTTCCTCGACCCCAGAGGACGAGTCGCCGTCGGGCCTATGGCATCCTCCCTGAGTGCTGCCGGAGGTTTCGTCCAAGGCGGTGGCCACGGGCCTCTGTCAAGAACTTTCGGCTACGCTGTTGACAATACTCTCGAGCTCAAGGTGGTGACGGCTGATGGACGAGTCCGAGTAGCCAACCAGTGTCAAAACCCGGAGTTGTTCTGGGCTCTCAAAGGTGGCGGCGGAGGGACTTTCGGTGTCGTGGTTTCCGCGACGTACCGGACTTTTCCTGAGCTCAAGCTTGGCTACCTTCACACACTGTTCATCGCTGCGTCTTCCAGCCCCTCGAGCCACAGGGATCTCGTCGCCAAGTTTGTGGAAGTCACGCCTGCCATGGACGAAGCTCGGCTTGCCGGCTACTTCTACATCTACACCAGCCTCGTAATCATCTCTTTCGTGCTGCCGAATGGAACAGTCGCGGAAGCACAGGCTGCGTTTGCTCCCCTGGTTTCTTACGTCGATAAGAACCCGGAGCTCTCGGTCGTCAACAACACCGTCACTTCCCACGACACTTTCGTCCAGTGGCATGACGGAGTTCTCTGCGCAGTCAATCCAGTACTGTGCACCGATGCAACCGGCACAAGCGGGCTTTTCGCGACGCGGTTCATGCCCAAGAAGATCTTCCAGGAATCACCAGCTGTGCTGACCGACACCCTCATGCGAGTTCTGTTTGAACGTAACTTCAGTCCCATCTTCGGCTTGTTTGTGTTTGGAGGCGCAGCATCGAGCGTCCAAGGCAGGAACAATGCCCTGAGTGCCGTCTGGAGGGAGGCTCTGTGGCATGTACTTATCGTTAGGACCTGGAACGAGAGCACGAGTGTGGAGGAGCGATATCAGTTTTCTCGAAGTCTCACCTCCACGAATGGTCTGTTTCGAAGCATCACGCCTGGCGGAGGGTGTTACAAGAACGAAGGAGATTACTTCGAGCCATACTGGGAGGAGTCGTTCTTTGGTGAGAAGTACTCGACGCTCAAGGCCATCAAGGAGAGCGTGGATCCGACTGGCCTGTTCTTGTGTTGGAAGTGCGTTGGAAGTGAAAGCCTGGTTCAAGGTGGAGCTTCTTAGAAATTGTTCTTACGCAAGAGTAAAAGAGACTTACCATTTCTATCGCGGGAAAGTCGAGTATAAATGCTAGCCAAAACCGATACGCGAAACAGGACAGTGCTGGCGTTGCTGAAACGTCTGGAAAATGTTAGCTTACCATCCAGCGAAAACAACGTGGAACTTGCATCAAACCTTTCACTTGGAATTTTTGGGTCGAATATATCTTCCGGGTTTGGCTGCTGCCAAGATCATAAAAGAAACTCACATTTGACAATATACTCCAAGACCTGATTAAATCCAAGCGTCGTTATGAAAGACTTTGGAGCGAAAGAAGAAAAGGCAGGACACTTACGTCGCCGAAGTGATCGTGTTGTGGTCCACACACGCTTTAAGTAGGCACAAGGAAGAGAAGTCCAGCAAGCCATGGAATTGTCCTTTCATCTGATTCTTCTCTCTCTCCTGCTTAGCAGCTATGGAGAGAGCAGCTGCAAATGCACGCCTCGGAGCTCCTGCTGGCCAAGCTCCACAATCTGGTCAGCTTTCAATCGCTCCATCGATGGCCGCCTCCTCGCACCAAAGCCATACGCCTGGCCGTGCCACACTCCGCAATACGATCCGGTCGCTTGCAGCGCTGCTAGGCAGCTCCAAAACAATCCGTTCGCGAGGAGCGAGGTTGTCGGAGCTATGCAGTATCCGAACTGGGAGTCCGGCATCACCGGTTTCGGCTGCCCGCTGAATGGAACCGGCGCTCTTTCCAGTCCCTGCTACCAAGACGACGTCTCCATCTACGCCATCAACGTTTCCAGTGTGTCTCACATCCAGGCCGGAGTCGTCTTCGCCAAGAAGTATAACTTGCGGCTGGTGATCAAATCGAGCGGGCACGACTGGCTTGGCCGGAGCACTGCGCCTGGCTCGCTGTGCATCTGGCTCCACCATCTCACAAACATCTTCACGAACGACTCTTTCGTTCCGCAAAGTTGTCCAGTAAGTGATCCGGTCCCTGCTGTGACTGCCCAGCCTGGTGTTACTTGGGACTTCCTCTACGACTTTCTGCGCCAGAGGAACCGGGTTGCCGTCGGGCCGATGGGATCCTCCCCGAGTGCTGCCGGAGGCTTCGTCCAAGGCGGTGGCCACGGGCCTTTGTCGCGGACTTTCGGCTACGCTGCTGACAATGCTCTCGAGTTCACGGTGGTGACGGCTGATGGACGAGTCCGAGTAGCCAACCGGTGCCGAAACCCGGACCTGTTCTGGGCTCTCAAAGGTGGCGGCGGAGGAACTTTCGGCGTCGTTGTTTCCGCGACGTACCGGACTTTCCCTGATCTCCAGCTCGGCTACGTCCAGACTCTGTTCATCGCTGCGTCTGCCACTCGCTCCAGCCACGAAGATCTGATCGCCAAGTTTGTGGAAGTCACGCCTTCCATGGACGAAGCTCGGCTTGCCGGCTACTTCTTCCTCTACACGAACTATATCACCCTCTCTTTCGTGCTGCCGAATGGAACAGCCGCGGAGGCACGGGCGGCGTTTGCTCCCCTGGTTTCCTACGTCGAGGGGCATCCCCAGCTCCTCGTCATCACCTACACCGTCACCTCGTATCCAAACTTCGTCCAGTGGCACGACGGAGTCCTCTGCGCGACCAATCCCGGAGTGTGCACCGATCTAACAGGCGCGCCTCGGGCTCTGGCAACGCGGTTCATGCCCAGGACGATCATCCAGGACTCACCGGCGGTGCTGACAAACGCCCTCGTGAGAATTCTCTTCGAGCGGAGCTTCAGTCCCATCTTCGGCTTGTTCGTGTTTGGAGGCGCGGCAGCGAGCGTCCAGGGCAGGAACAATTCCCTGAGCGCTGTCTGGAGGGACGCTCTGTGGCATGTCAGCCTCTCCCGGACCTGGAACGACAGCACGACTGTGAAAGAGCGGCAGCAAATCTTCCAGTATCTTACCACGACCGACGACATTCTTCGCAACATCACGCCCGGCGGAGGGTGCTACAAGAACGAGGCGGACTACTTCGAGCCATACTGGCAGGACGCGTTCTTCGGGGAGAAGTACTCGGCGCTCAAGGCGATCAAGGAGAGCGTGGATCCAACCCGCTTGTTCCTGTGCTGGAAGTGCGTTGGAAGCGAAAATCTGGTCCAAGGCAACTGCAAAGCCGCAGGAAATCGAAAATCGCAACATACCTCACTCACATAGACCCCGACTAGAGCCCTAAATAAAAGTAATACATTTGTTTTCGGAGCACGAAAAACAATGACAGCTATATAATTATGAAAGTTTAGGGTTAGAAGCTACATGTCTTTTGAGGATAGGTAATTTTGCAGGCAGTCAAAATTAAAGAGTGAATTTGCAAATAAGTGTGGTGCTTGCATGAAACATGGTGGATTTAAAATTTTATATCTACAAGGAATGTATATAAGTAGCCAAAGTCCATATTAAAGGAAACTTACATAAAGCATGATGGATTGTAAGCGTGGTGGATTGTAGCTTACATCTTACTTACAAGGAATACAAGTTGTTTCCTTTTGGTTGCATCAGAAAATTTCATAAAGCTTGGTTTTTATGAAAATTATAGGCATTGTGGTTCCAGATCATTGTGTTCTATTGTAGGCATCAAGCCACAGGCCAATAGAAATTTTTTCACAATTAAATCTTCAATATTTCTGTTTGCTTTGCATGGGATCTTTCCATGGAAATTTGCATCTTTTTTACAACTTTTGTTCTCCATTTTTATTTTATTTTTTTCCCTCTTCTGTTGGGTTGTTGTTAGCTCCAATAGCTCCAATGTTTAGAAGAGCCTTTGCAAGTATTTACATACACTAGACTTGATCCAGGTCTTCCTGTAGAAGTTGAGCAGGCAAGTCTTGGCATGAATCCCCACCACAAGTCTTCATGTAGTGTTTTGTCTTTGCTTGAATAATAGAGTCAGTAAATAAAAGCTCTGAGGAGCATTTTGATTTTCCAGGTAAATTTGGGATTGTGGAAACATAAAAAGAAGCAAATATGTTCGTTCACCATCCTCTCTTTCATGCTGCCGATATTTCGTGTAGAGGTAGAAGTAGCCAGCAACCCAAGGAAGGTGTGACTTCCACAAACTAGATCCCAACGAGTGGCAGACGCAGCAACAAACAGAGTTTGCACGTAAGCTGAGTTCAAGACCAGGGAAAGTCCAGTATGTCACGGAAACAATGGCGCCAAAAGTCCGCCACCTTTGAGAGCCCGGAACAACTCCGGGTTTTGACACTACTCGGGCGTCACCACCATGCAGCGCTGCCTTGGAGGGAGGCTCTGTGGCGTGTTAGCCTCTCCAGGACCTGGAACGACAGCACGACTGTAGAGGAGCGGCAGCAAATCTTCCAGTTTCTTACCTCATCTCCGCAACATCACACCCGGCGGAGGATGCTACAAGAACGAGGCTGGCAGGACGCATTCCTCGGGGAGAAGTACTCGGCGGCTCAAGGCGATCAAGGAGAGAGTGGATCCACGGAGACTCGGCTCGCTCCAGTGCTGGAAGTGCGTTAGAAGCGAAATGCTAAGCCGCAGGAAATCGTGCGTGATCACATCTAGATCGACTTGGCCGCATTCAGCGTTTGATGGAGGTAGCTCAGGATCTATTTCTGTTTTCTCCCTTTTCTGCCATTCCAGAAACAACGAGTTCTTCACGGGATCGAAACATGCGCTGGTCCTCCATTTTCCAACGGAATGACTAATAACACTTTACAATAAATCCTTTGTAGAGTTACAAAAAAGTTGTGTGTTGGTAAGCTCGCTCAGCTCGTGCCGTGATGATCCTCGGCACCTATCTGGCTTGAATCCATGGCGCTGCTCTGCTGCTGCTCCTCCCTCTTAGAGCCTGGAAAGCTGGCCCTGGCCAGCTCGCGCAGAGTTTTCAGCTCGCTCGAGTTCGTGTCCGACCTCGACGGCCTCGTCTTCTTGCCTTCGAACGACACCGACCTCGACCAATGGCCTGGAACCTTGTGGAACGATCCCGCTGGTTGGAGGAGCCTCCCGGAGCCGGACGAAGCCCTCGACTGCTGGCCCAGGCTGCGAGGATCGACGAGCGAGGGGGAGCCTGGATCGTAGGCCGGACCGCCCGTCTCGGTGAAGGAGATCGGCGAGCTCGAGGGAAGAACTTTGCTGCGTTGTTGGAAGTCCGGGGACGGGCTGAGATGCACCACGGGGACCAGTCCGATCCTCGGCTGCTGCGGAGGAGTGATGAACTTGGGCCACTTTCTCTGCGGGATGAATGGAAAAACCAGTCCTTTCCCCAGCATCCTCATCCCCGCCTTGAACGATGGCTCCTGGGGAGCCGAGAGCTTGAGCAGCTTCTCCATGAGCGCGTACCACTCGTTTATCAGCTGGCACATGAAGCTCGACAGCAGCAGCGTCACCATGGCGATGCCCAGGCTTCTCCGGTTGTCGGACGAGTGGTCGTCGGGTAACAGGGCCATCCCGATGCTGAAAACCGCAAGCTCGCACAGCAGCGACACGCTCTCCACCAAATGCACGCCCCTCCGAATGTAAGGCTTGAAAAGTACCAGGTAAAGAAGCTGGATCAGAGTGACTGCCAGCGCCAGAGAGAGCTGCCTCCACGAGACTTCGCTTCCAGGATGCACTCCAAAGACTATTCCCAGGGTGGCACGCCTTGCGATATCGGCCATGATGTAGAAAACTCTGGCAGCACCTATTAGCTTGTGCGCTTTGGAGACGGACATGTCGACGCTGTCTTCGTCGGAGTTGACGGGCTTCATCCTGCCGATGCCTTTGCCTTCACTGTCCACCCATTTTGATCCATAGTCCTCGTCCACATATACCACCCTGGGAGGACCTTTCCGGTTCTCAAACAGCAAGCCAAACTTGGGGATGAAACTGGACGAGAGACCCTCCTTGCGGACCCACTTCCCAATGTGACTTTCGCCGAGTAGCAAACGCACTACTCCCCGGCAAACGTGACCGCCTGCCTGACTCCTGTACTCTTTGTACTGAACCAATGCACCCCAGATGACCGCGACCAGCAAAAACATCAGCACGGAGAGGAAGAAGCCAGTTGGAACTGCAAGTAACAACACTCCCACAATGATCCCACCCGTTGTACCACCTGAGCAAGGCAATCGTGACTCGCACAAGCAAAAATAACAGCAGACTTCTTACCCCGAATGATGAAGGCCGCTGCTTGACAGATACACGGTAAAGCAACGTAAAGGAGAAAAATCTCGAAGCGAGGAACGCAAAGAGCGCCTCTGAGAGTTGCCTCCGTTCTCCATCGTAGAAAATAGAGTAGCAACAGGTGGAAAAGAACGAAACCACCCCCGAAAACTCCCAACCAAAACATATTCTTCCCGAAGTCGTTCCATCTGTAGCGTGAATCGAAGAAGTTAATTATATACATGACCTTGTGAACTTCTACGTACCCGTTATATTTCCCTTCAAGAACGACAGATTCTCCGTGTTGCATCTGTGAGAAAGCCTCCAGGTAAATGATAGCAACAAAAGCGTCATTTGTACCTGAAAGAAAAGCCTATATTCGTCTGAGCTTAACGCGGGTCCATAAAGAGTTGTGTTGGACCCCAGCTTTCGGCGTGTTTCCAAGTAATCCAAAGAATAAGGACTGTTGGCTTGGTAATGTAGCTTATGGCTCAGAATAGATTGCTGCTTTTCCCATGGAAGCTTGACGTGAGGGATAAACCATTTCATGCTCCGGACAGTTTCACTATACTCAACGGGAAAATTCGTTGAGGCATAATATGATAACGCAAATACTTGTAGATGTCCGGCCATTCCCTGCATACATTCCATCAGTACAGAGTGGCATCCTCATGATTCACATACCAGAAGATTTCCTGATGGATTTGACACAATAGAGCTCACAGTCCTGCTAGTAATCGCACCAGCTCCCCCCAAACTAGTGGAGGCTATAGAGACCAGCCCCGAAGTTATGAATGTAGCAAGTATACCCGCTGTGACAAAACAAGACGAAGCGACTGCAATTGCAGGTGGTGAATCTAGAAACAGAGTAGCACGTCAGAAACAAGAGACTTTTTCTCTACTGAAAAGACTGAAAAACTTACAATGGCGTACTTGCAGCTGGCTGGATGCAAGATTTGGATTTCCGGCAATATCAGTCGTTTTGTTTTCAGATATAAACACCGTGACAACTTGGTCAGCGGGAATGAGTAGCTCCGCGAAGTATTTGCTCTTAGTTATTTCGCTTAGCCTGCAACACGGAAACCTTTAAAGCTGATAACCCAACATAAATTTGCTCACCTCGTAACTTTGCCAGCAGACAAGTTGAAATCTGATGAATCAAATAAAAAAACCGGTTCAGAAAATTCAATCCAGACTCCGGTAGTGCGTTTCCTTGTTTTCACGGACGACGATGGGGATAGTAGTACCTCCGGCCTCTTACGATCTAGAGCCAAGCTTCACGGTCATTTACATTCACAAGAAAGGATTACCGTATAAGAAGCTGACATGGTTTGACTGCAATACGTAAGTACCATCACGGCTTTGCAAGCCTCCCTGAAGTTGTACTGTCACAACGGCGGAGTCCGAGATATTCGTGAGCTGGGGAAAGAGACTTTGAGTGCCGAAATATAAGAATGCAGTTTAGTTACCAGAAAGCCGTATCTCCGCTTGCCGTGACTTTTTCTTTCTGTTGGTTGAAGAACACCATCAGTAACATTCAAGGCTCCAAGAATCTCTTCAGTCGTGTTGACTATAGGCCGTGAAAAGTCCAAAAATATCCCAAGGTCGCCGATATCTCTGGTCACCTGCAGGGATCGCGGTTGCTTATTGACTACCACTTGAACTTCCGTGATTCCGGTCCAAAGGTTAACATCAACAGGAGTTCTGTCTGCAAATGAAACACCACAATTACATTCATACTATAGCTGAAAGAGCATACCAAAGCGCACAATGACACTCGAGTTGTCTCCCCTCCGGAACTTGTTCCCAGCCAAATCGCTGCAAAATTCTTTTCCTAACGCAACAATGACTCGGCCCGACTGAGTTGCAGCTGATAAATTGAGTACAAGGTTGTACTCCAAATTCGGTCGGATAACACGCAAGCTTGATGGCACAATACTTCCAGGACCGTGGGTAGCTACCTAGAAAAGTTGAAAATTGTCTGCAAGAAAGCATTTTCTACCTTTTTTAAAAACTTACAGGACAATTTGCAATGTCAGAACACTTAAATCCACCATCTCCAGCGCAAGATTCACTTAATATGATATGCAAAGTGGCATTCAAGGCATTGGTAAATTCTCTATCAACCGTTATTGATCCGGTTGGAGGTATAGAATCTGTAAATTGGTCGTTAGATATGAAAAACCGAGAAAGCTGGGGAAAACTGACCGACAGTCCAATTGTAGCTCACGGATACTGAAGAATTGACCGTCTGTATCGAAACTTCAAAAACGTGATCGCCATCTATTAAACTCGAGTAAGAATCTCCGCGAGAAGCGCAATCGTGAAATGGCGATCCATCCAGCTGCGCATCAAACAGCAAACTTTAAGAAACGAGATAGAAAGAAAAAACAAACACAAAGAAAAACAAAGGATCCGATACAGTACCTTGCATTGAATAGCACAGTCACTGCAAGCATCGTTTCCTCCCGAGGCATTCTTTACCATGAACTCAAAGGTGGCATTCCTTTGAGCAGTCACGAGCGCCGGTGCTCTCGTAAGCACTGGAACCTGAGCTTGAGCCCATAAACATCCCGACAAGAGCGAAAGAATCCACAGCAGCGACGCCATTGCACCTCCAATCGACCAATCCCAGCTTCCACCAATCAAAGATCATACTGACATCCTCTCGAGCGCCTGGAAATGCCCCGAGAAGACAATGTAGGTAACCTCTATCCACAATCTATCCAGTTCTATAAATCCCCCGAGCCCAGCAGTAGCGTCGAAGCTCAGGATCCATCCCTTTGCCTTGTATCCTCACCTAGAATCCACATTTAGCGCTTAAGCTACAGCATTCTTCCAGCCGAATCCGCCGCGACGCGCCGCAGCTCGATCTACTCGCAAGCATCGCCCGGCCAAGAATGTAGCTCGATCTTACCACAAATCCGCAGCTATCGTCGCGGCGCAGATCGGGCGCGCCAGAGGAAGAACCCTGATTTACCCTCTCGCCCTCGCGCGAATCGAAGAAATATTGCCTCTCTCCTCTCTTCCCTCCCTCTCGCTTTTTACCGCGCGGTGAAAGAGTGATAAAAAACCACGTTTTATGCACACGGTGAAACTTGCGGCGTCATATCGGACCCGTTCATGCCCTCATCCGACGGACAATGCCATGCCACGTCACAGCGCGGTACCGTACGAGGGAGAGAATTTATCGCGCCGTAGGTCCAGGCTGGCAGTGATGGGCCCATGGGTTTGTATTGCGTATGTATGATTCGTGCATACTGACCACCACGATTATGGCCCATGTGGCCCAAACGCCAGAGCAAAATCTGGCAATTGCTGGTTGGCATAGGAGCTCCCAACACCTCTATAAATTGTTATCTCTAGACGTATGTACATACCAACAAGCTACGTATTAAGCGCGATAGCGGCGTTTTGTTGGCAGACGTTTATAACCTTTTGTAGCGTTTCGCGGATCAAATAACTTTTTTTGGAGCTATCACAAGTTCTCCTTACTGTGACAACTTATCACAGCCTTCGTCTATATAATCAAGAGATCGCAAAGCTTTGTCTTCGTATCTATCTTATCAAAGCTTCATTGTCTCGGCCTGTTTTCTTCTTAAAGATCACACTGTGAAAAACAATGCCAATCGATTATTATTTCCCTGGAAGGTCAGCTCGTAAATGCCCAAAAAACACAGCTCTAAGAAGTGAAAGCTAGTACCAGTATAGTCAAAAAAATTGGAGTATCTTACAGTTCTTTTTTTTTTTCTTGAAAGCTTTCGCTGGAATCTCGTTGTCTCGTTCGTTCTCGTTGTTCTTCGTTGTCTCGTTCGTTCTTCTTTCTTTCCTTATGTACAGCGTCGCGTCCCCTCTTCTTTTTCCTCCCGAGTTCCTGGAAAACTTCTCTCGCGCCCCCGGGAAGAACCGATCGATTAACCACCGTAGCTGGAAACCGTGTGCTGCCTCATCGGCTTGGACATGTGTGACATGATAAACCGCGAGTAGAGGCCGCCTCTTTCCATGAGAACGTTGTGAGCTCCTTCTTCCACAATCCGGCCGTCGTGAAGCACCGCCACTTTGTCCACCCGCTTGAGCATCGCAATCCTGTGAGCTATAACGATGGTGGTCTTGTTCCCCAGAATGAGCGTGTCCAACGCCTCCTGTACCACCCGGCTCGACTCACTCTCCACCGCGGAGCTTGCCTCGTCCAGCAGCAAGATGGGAGCGTTCTTGAGCACAACTCTCGCGATGGCGATTCGTTGCTTCTGTCCGGCGGTGAGCTCCACCCCTCGCATGCCGATGTGCGTGTCGTATCCGTGAGGCAGCCCGCTGATAAACTGGTGAGCGTTTGCTATTCGGGCAGCCTCCTTCATCTCGGCCTCGGTTGCGTTGCGCTTGGCGTAGATGATATTCTCTCGAATGGTGGTGGAGAATAGAACCGGCTCTTGCTGTACCAGGCCCATGTTGCTGCGAAGCCACCGCAGGTTGAAAGCCTTGAGGTCCTTTCCGTCCAGTGTCACCGAGCCGGCTACGGGGTCGTAAAACCGCTCGATCAGAGAGATGACTGTGCTCTTGCCGGATCCTGAGAGTCCCACGACTGCCACCGTCTGTCCACCCGTTGCCTTGAGATTGAAATCGTTGAGTATAACTGCGTCTGGCCTCGTCGGATATCTGAACTCGACGCCACGAAACTCTATGGTACCAAAGATGTTTGGAAGCTTCAGGCCGTCACCATCGTCGGACTCGATTGTTGGTTTCCTGTCAATTATCTGAAACACGGGCCTCAGTGATTCCCGTCTCTTGAGGATGTAAGGTGCCAGACAGAAAGGCTCCACCAGCGCAAACGTTGCGAACGAGAACACGGTGAATGCCTTCAAGACTTCGCTGAGCCTCCCGTCGTGCCTTTTCAGTATCTCGGTCCCGTACCAGAGAACGAAAGCGTTGGATGCAAACAAAAGGAACTGAGAAATGCCGAAGGCGATCCCTGTGACCTGACCACGGATAAAACTTCGGGCCTGGAGTCTCGCGAGTTGGTTCTTGTACAGCTGAACGACTTTATCTCCAGCAGAGAAGGATGCGATGGTGCATATATTCCTGACTGCGTCCTCAATGACTACGGAAGCTTTCGTATGCCACTCTCTAATGTTCCCAGAAAATCCCATCACCCACATTTTCTGCAGCAATCTGTAAATAAGAAACGTTCACAAACAGAAAGTGATGGCGTACCTGGAAAATAGCTGAGACTATAAGCAGAGGAATGGTAGCAATTGCAACTGTTCCCAAACGCCACTGGAGCAAGGTCGTCAATAAAACAGTCACGACAACAGCAGCGGTGTCTTGGATGATAATTGAGAGCCGGTTGCTAAAGGCTGCCCGAACAAAAGTAGCATCATTCGCCAGCTGAATCGACAGGGCCTCGGTACTATTATCGTCTTGATCAAACCACCCGATCTCGTTGCGTAAAATTGCTGCGACAGATGCACAACAATAAGTTTACTCAAATGCTCTAGGATGGTTGAGAGGTAAGTACCTGAGAACATTAGCCTTCGAACTCGTTCAGTCATTTTTTCTCCCATGATGCCGAAGTAAAAGTGTTGCAGGAAGTTGACGAAAACCGTCGCTAATCCCATACCAGTCACAAGCAAGCACCACTTGTTTATCTCACGTTTACTGCGGTGGTCCTGCGCGTGATAGTAGTACTGAGCAGTTTGAACGACGAAAAGGGCCATTAACGGATTGAAGGAGCCAAAAAACGCCGCACCGATGCTTCCGACAAAGGCATAACACCATTCAGGTCCACTCAGTTGTATGAGCCTCCAGTAGCTTGGCTTCTCATTGTTCCCAGGAGTCTCGGGGATAATGCTCGTCGATTCCAGTTCTACCAGCTGCGAGATGGATCTGCTGAATGTCTTCGAGTGAGATCTCTCGTTCTTGGGGTCAGATGTCAGGAGTGGCGACACGGGAGATTCCGGATCAGACTTGAAAGGTATTTGTTGGAAGTTGTGAATATCCAGCGGTGGCGGGTGTTGCGGATTTTTTTCTCCTTCCGCCGTTCCGCTGCCAAACGTTACGGAGTCTTTGTCTTCAGATGATGGACTTGGAATTTGAGGCGGTGAGCTGTGAACGCTACTAAACTCCGCGTAGCGTTGTCCATTCTGCGCCGCGACGGAAGAAGAGCGTATCAATCGAGGAGAGGAGGTATGAGCTGTTTCTCTGAAGCTTTTCTTGTTCCTGGAAATGAAACGTTAGCTTAGAAGATGATGGCAGCAAGATTCTTACCAAGGAACAACTCTTGCCGTCTCCTCAAGGCGAATTAGTTCTGCGTACGTTCCATCGGCAGCCATCAATTCATCGTGAGTACCAAGCTCAACAAGCTGGCCTTCTTCAATAACAGCGATTACATCCACATTTCGGATATTAGCCAGGCGGTGAGCGATTACGAGTGTCGTCCGACCAAGTATCAGTATGTCAAGGGCCTCTTGCACGTTCCGTTCGGCCTGTGGATCAAGATTACTGGTAGCTTCGTCAAGTAGTAGGATGGGTGGATTCTTTAAGACGGCTCTAGCGATGGCTAGCTTTAGCTTCATTTCTTCTGACAAAGTTATCCCTCCATCGCCAAGCTGCAGATATTATTCACTTCCAGAAAGTCAGGCACAACTAAAAATCTCACCAGTGTATTGTATCCGAAAGGTAGCGAGCTGATAAATGCATGAGCATGAGCAGTCTTCGCAGCCTCCTCGACGTCATCCATGCTTGCGTTTGATCGGCCGTAAAGAATGTTGTCTTTGATGCTAGACGCAAGCAGCGCAGGCTCGGGACTCACTAACCCAATCTGACTTCTAAGCCACGTCATTTGAAGGTTTCGTACGTTTTCACCGTCCAAAAGCACCTCGCCTGCACAATCACGATCAGAACCATGGAGAATATGTGATAGCCTCACCTAAAGTTGGATCATAAAAGCGAAGAATTAGTGATAGAATGCTACTTTTCCCAGCACCATTGCTTCCAACCAAAGCCATGGTTTTCTTTGGAGCTACTTGGAGATACAAGCCACTCAATATGGGTACATCGGGGCGCGAAGGATAGCTGAAATAGACATGCTTGAGCTCCAAACTTCCTTGAACGTTAGCAAGAATATTTCCCTGTTGAGTGTTAGCGATTGTCCTTTCAATCACGTCATAGAGTCTATAAGCTGCAATCTTGCTCTGTTCAAAAGCCGGGAAATTTGTTGCTGCCTGGTTCAACCCTCTGCATCGGCACGTAAGTAGGATACTAGAAGCAAGAGAGAATCTTTTAGCTTACAGTCCGCTTAAAATGATTGCGAATGCTGCCACGATAACTTCACCACCGTTGGCATCTCCTTTTCCAACAAGTATTCGACCAAACCACAATTGAAGAGCGCAAGAACAGATAGCTAGACCGTAGATAAAGCCAAGACCAACGCCTTGGACAAGACTGATTTGAACGCCATATCCAAGTGTAGTCTGAAGAGCGCTTGCATACAAGTGCTTCACCAAAGTTTCATTCGCAAAAGCATATATAGTTCGGACATATGCAATAGCCTGAGCACAAAAAAGAAAAACACTTTTATGTTTAAAAGAGAACGTGATTGATGACACACCTGTTCAGCGATACTCGCAGCTTCAGAGTAGGCATCTTGAACGCTTTCAGCAAGCTTATGCAAGAAAATGTTGGAGATGGCTCCAGCAACAACTATTAAAGGTCCAGTCGCTAGCGTCAAGAGAGCTATCTGCCAGCAGTTCAAAAATCCTACTACAAGACCCCCGACGAATGTAGCCATGTTATGCACATAATGGCTGACCTGTTAGAAAAAGTATAAGCCTAGCTGTTAGAGATGGAGACTCATAATGCATACCTTTTCCCCAATAGTATACTGGATAAACAGAACATCGTTCGAAACTTGGCTCACAATATCTCCATTGCTTGCATAACTCTCAAAAAACCCCATGTCTTGATTGAGCAAAACTTGCAGATATTTTGACCGCATTACAGAAGATTGCCTCTCCGCAGTCAAGAGCCAGCAAGAGACCTCTGCGGTAGAAACATGACAAAAGCGATCACCATCATTTCAAAGAACAACGCACGACACTTACGTATCCATCCAGCCAGCAAAACAGCTCCCGCAATGTAGAGAATATCCAGGACATACTATAAGAAAGAAAGAATTGCGTGAGCATAGAAAGAAGGAAAAGAAAAAGGCAAAGTCGCAAAGAACTGGTACTAACCTGCGTGAGATCATCGTATACTCGCGCTTGACTCGTTCTGTGCCGGTAGCAATTGAGGATTTTCCCAAAGAAGTGGAGGTAAACCGGCAGCGCAGCACCGTGAACAGCCGATGCGAGTGTCCCAAGGATCATAAGCACCCAGTCCCAAGTTCCAGCATACACGAACAGCTTGAAAAACGAGACTGCCACTGGGGAGAAATCTATGTCCTCTTCATCCTCTAGAACATCGTCATCCACGGGTATAGCATCACCCCCAGCATCCAAGTAAGGCGAAGGCGACTCTGGCGGCTCCGAGACCTCGGACACTGGCGTCAGTGGCTGGATGTGAGGTGGAGACCATCCAAACAGCCCCTTGTTCAACATTTCTTCCCCCTCCTTCCACTACTCCAGGCACCTCATGCTATCTCCTGCTGGATCTTCCCGCTTACTCCTCGAGCAGCATCACAAATTTCCCCGCATTTTCACCTCACGTTATCCAGTCCGAGGAGCTGTCCATCCTAGCAATCCCTCCAGCGCCTCATCCTGGACTTCCAGCGTCGCGCGAGCCGAAATTTCCCACCCGGAAGCTCCCGGCTGCCGCAAAACCCTACCTCAATTTCAAGAACACTGCATTGCCCGCGGGAGAGCTCCCGGCGCCCGCGAAGAGAGCTCCCGTAGCTCGATCGACCCGTGCGCCTCGCCCTGCCTCTTGCCCAGCCCTAGAAAATGTAGAACAGCTTTAGCGAAGAAAATGCGAGGACATTACTTTACGAGAATGAATGAAAGGAATGAATTGTGTGGTGGACCGCAAGCGTATCGGCCGTCGATCCGAGGCAAGATGGAAGCCCCATATTCTGCCACGTGTGCGCGCTTGACTGGCTGGCCAGCCGCGTCAATGTTCCAACACTTCTTTTTTGACTGACGGCACGCACTCACACATTAGAAAAATGGTTACAAGCCTTTCTTTTCTCCTTCGTCTCTTTGTTCTAGACGCTGGCCCTGCGACCAAAAGGAAGAATCCTTTAAAAAGAATCCACCCAAGAGAAGGACGCATCGATCAGTCTTGAATACCTCCTTCGAAGGACCCAAAACAAAACTATGGAGAAAAACTTACGTCATTTAGCTCAAAGAGATCATCACCACCATCATCAGCGCTTCACTGTTCCCCTCATCTCTCTTGAATTTGTCAAACACAAGCGGGCCATCTTCGCACTCGACTTGATCTGTGGAAAGCAGCGTTAGAACTTTTCAACTTCCTCCTCGATACAAACTGAGAGAACTTACTTAGCTCAAAGAGATCATCTCCTCTTCGCTCTCTCCCTCGGCATCTGACCTGGCTGTGCTGCTGCTACTGCTTTCCGAGACAAAAGGCAGCTCCACTAGAGGAGCGTTCGCATAAAACTCTTCCAAGTTGTAGAATTCTCGCTGCGATGGTAGAAAGATGTGCACAACGACATCACCTGCGAAGGGCAGAGACTTTTCGATCAGTACCAGCAGTGTAAATATCTGGCAGTAACACACACACACACAGAGAAGAATATTAAAAGACGCTCACCGAAATCCATGAGTGTCCAGCCCGAGGGCTTTCCGCTTGGTCTTGGAATTTTCCCGTACTGTTCTTGGGCGATGTCTTCTATTCTTCCACTGCAGATTTTAGAAACCGTACCTGGTAAGATCATAGAAAGAAACGATGGCAGGCTTACACTATAGCATTGACTTGAGGCATAGAAAACGCTGAAGCGATTAAAAAGTAGCGAGCCCAGTATATCAGAGGTTTGACGTGAAAGAGCTTGATATCCACCGCTTTAACTTCGTTGGCAGCTGTAGCTAGAGCAGTAGCCACTGCACTACGCAAAACACAAGATATCAGGCCAAACCATAGAAACGAGGAAAAGAAAGAATGGAACTTACTGGAGAGAGCCTCGGCATCCGCATTAGCATCTTCGGCAGATGATTTTCGAGGCTCTGGATCCGATCGCACAACATTCCCATACTCTTTCATCAACGCATCGATTTCCTCGTTGCTAAGAACATCCACGTCAACATTGTCCTGCAAGAATGAAACTCAAGTTCTTTTCGAGCTCGAAAGAGAAAATTTTACCTCCTCATCCTCCTCCTCAGTCTCCTCTTCTTCGTCGCTTAGCAAGGCGTCTTCCTGTTCTTCGTCCTCCGCTTGCGAATCCGACGCCATTGCCCGCCAAGCCCCGGATCTGGGATTCCCGGCTCTTTGGCACCATCCGCGCTGCGCAATCGACACCGCGATCGAGCAGCGCCTGCCATATTGCCTCCCGATCGAGCAGCGCTTACCGGAGGAATGCTGGCGTTGCCACAGGGCCAGAGCCCCCGCTCCCGCGCATTGGAGTGAGGCCATGTCCATAAACCCTATCTCTCTGGTTTAGGGTTTATGGAATCAAAAAGGTAATAATAGAGGGTTTAGCAATTTTAGGGTTTATGGGGCAAATGGGAGAGGAAGTGAGGCTCTTTGTGGGCGGCCTGGGCGCGTCCGTGGCTGCGCAGGATCTGGAGCGCGCGTTTGGATCACTGGGCGCCGTGCGCGCCGTGGAGATGATCCGCAGCGGCGATCGCGATTTCGCCTACATCGATTTCGTGGCTTCGTCGCCCGCGGCGCTCCGTAAGGTCTTCAGCACTGTAAGTATTTTCATCGTATTGATTGATGCGATGCCGATCGATGAAAAACGAAATTTTTGTACCGCAGTACAAAGGCTGTAAGTGGAAGGGAGGATGCCTTCGCGTGGAATTGGCCAAAGAGCACTATCTTCAGCGATTGGAACGAGAATGGGCCGCCGGAAGGGAGGACCAAAAGAAGGATGGCGAGCAGAAAGAGCGGCCGAAAATGCCGATTGTTCCAGCGACGCGGGCGCTTAAAATTTTTTTCCCGCGATCACGAAAGGTGACGAGCTTCTGGTTTTTCTTTAGTTCTAGTTTGAGCAGTGATCTTCCAGGTGAAAGTTGTGAGTGGAGGTAAACACAAACGGAGTTTTGAGCGCTGCGCCAGCCATCCTCTCGCTTTGCTCGGACTGTGTAGCTGCGGAGAACACCAAGATCAAGAGGCCACCGATCCTTTCGAGTTTGAGCACAGTGGCTACTTGAGGCTTGTGGAAAAATTGGAATCCAAGCGTTTGGATGAGAACGGATCGAGCCGAGAGGTGGAGGCGGCTGGAAGCAACTTGGGGTCAAGCTCCATAGCCGAGACGAGCAATAGCGAGAGAAAGAAAAAAGAGAAACAAAAGGGGGATCCGAGCAGCAAACTTCCCCGTGAGACTAAGAAAGGCAAGCAAATCGAGGTAAAAAGAATGGAAGGCGACGTGAATGCTTTCGTTCCAGACGAAGATGACTTACTCAGAGAGAAGAACAAGAAAGAGGACAAGACGAGTGGCGTGAAAGCATCAAACTCCAAAGAGGAAAAGAACATTACAAGTGACAAGGAGGACAATGACAAAGTTCTTATGGAAAATGAAAGCGAGGAGGAAGAACTCGACGAAGAGGATGGCGTTGTTCTCCCGGGGCTGATAAAAAAGAGAAAGGTACGATGTTTTCTTCTGTCAGTCTCATCGCGTTGGTCTTTCTCGCAGGCCAAGGTTGAAACCAACGATACAAAGTGGGATACTTTGTTTGAAGCCGCGGCTGGACTGAGAGAGAACGAAGAGCTCTCTGAGGACTCCTTTGAAGAACAGGACGTGGAAGAGGAATTGGAACATATCCAGGTTGATCAGAATAGTTCGGGAAAGGTTGATGGAAGCTCTCACGAAACAAAGAAAATTAACCGCGTGAGGTGGTCGTCTCGAGACACAAAGAGCGCTACAAGTAGCAAGAAAGTTCTTACGAGAGAAGAATGCGACGAGGAAGGACTTGACGAAGAGGGTGGCATGCTGAAAGAAAGAAGAAAGGTACGTTTGCGTTTATCTCTTTGACGACTATCGAGTGAGTTCCTTTTTGTTTGTAGACCGAAGCCAACGCTACGAAAGGGGATAATTTATTTGGAACCGGAGTTAGCGAAGCTCTCGAAGACGAGCAAGTTACAATTCCAGATGCAAAGAAGCACAAATCTGGAGACCGAGCTGCTCGTCACTCGAACAAAAAGAGCCGGTCGGACAAAGCTGATGGAAGCTCTAAAGAAGCTCTCGAAGGAAGCGAAAATGGACCTGAGAGAAAGGATGACCAAGTTGATAGAAAGCAGCAGCAGGAAAAACAAAAAGATCAGAGCTGGGTCCGGTTTAGCTCGTGGAAATCTCTGGTTGGAGATGGCAGCGGTGCGACATTCTCTTTGTCAACGATAGCAGGAGCCGAACCACAGGAATCCAATAGTTCGGCAAGTTTAGTGCCAAACATCAAGAAGAAAGGTGATAATTCTGACGACCAACGAGCCAAAGTCACTACAGGAACATCACTGCCGGTCAGTACCTCAAAGAGTACTAGCAACGACGTTACCGAGAGCTCACAGCACCAGCAGCTTCGGCCATCCGTGAAAGCTCTCCTGGAGAAAAAGACTTGCTCGTTCATGAGGTCCCCTGCCGCCGAAGAAGAATGGCTGGCGTCCAAAGACAAGCTGAGCTTGGACTACAAGGCCAAGCACAGGACTGCAGTGAGAATCAAACGCAAGAGCTTTTAGAACTACAAGAGCAAAGCAAAGAAAAGAATAACAGCCTTGTTACCCCCCAAGAAGTTTTCCGACAAAAAAAAATTTCCTCCTGAAAAATTATATGAGCCTACCTCCTACTTGAGACCTGTATATTACAGCCACCCCAGCTGATAGAGAAAATATGCTGTTGTTGTCATCGTCGCTCGCCAATCACATCCATCAATGGACGCATTGGTTCTTCCGGAAGTCCTCGGGGGCCAATAACTTCAAAACCAGGCTCTCGAGTCTCTTTGCTCCTGCACTAGGCCGCAGAACGTCAGCATCACCCATAACCGAGCAAGGATCATTCCCATTTTCCGACGAGCCCAGGCACCATCCACCAGGAGTGAATCGGTCCTTCTCCCGCCCCAGCAGCCGGCTGTCGATCATGTCCAGCACCGGATCGTCCTTGTCAAACTTCCTCCCAAACGGGCTGCCGCTCGCGTTCATGTTGTCAAAGTCCTTGACGGTTAACGAGAGTGGATGCTGCTTTGGAGGATTGTCCCAGGTGATGTAGTGGAGGTCGTGGTTCACCGTCGTGTTCCGGAACTCGCGACTGTTGCAGATCACCGTGTGGAAATACCCCTCTGGAGAGGACAGGAAATTCGTATAGTACATCAACACTGTCCTTGGAAGGTTGTCCCAGCCCCAGATGCAAAACTCCATGAAATTCCTGGTTAAAGCAACCCACGCCGAACCTGTGACAAGATGCCGGATACCATGAGAGAAACTTGCACAAACGCCATACCTGTGAAAAGTTTAAACGCCGACGGAACTGATCTTCTCTGCGTCACCCAGAATATATCAGTCTTTTTGTTCATGTATAGACCCGGATCGATGATTATTGGTTTAGCTCTCTGGAACCTGTGCCAGTCGTCATTCATTCATATCTTAGTGAGCAACCGAAACTAAAAAAAATAGCAACAGTGCACATGTCCTTACTCTTTCCAGCCGATGTCACTCGTATGTTCCAAGAAATTTAAATCCCTCGGGAGATACGAAAACACATTGAGAAGATCTGCAAGACCAAACAAAAGAGCAATCAAAACTTTTCTAGGAGAACGCGGAACGAGAAGAAAAAAAGAGAATTACGTACCATCTTGGGAAACGAGGGGATAGTCGGAAGCACTGAGATTGATAAACCAGTCCCACTCCTTGCTCTGCCGAAGAAGAATCGCGGCGGCGTGGAGCGTGCATGCGATCATAGTCGAGCCTCTATAAGTCACCAAGTTAGCCTTCCCTATAACATGTACATTCCCGGCCAGCGTAAACGTTGGATCCATCTTCACGTATCTGGCCAGCTCCACTCTCTCCCTGGGAGGTGCCTCCAAATCCAGATGGAGCAAGTACTGGTTCCTGGGGTGATAGATCGCTTGCAACACCCTCTTCATCCGATCCCCATCCCCACGAGTTCCCGAGATCAAGTAGGCGAGCCGGGGGGCCGTGGGAAGATCCGAGGCTGGAACCTGTGACAATTTGGATTCGACGTACATGTCGGCCGGATCCTCGCCCTTGAGGAACAAATGGAACACGGACGATCTGGCGCCATAGGAGCTCGCGCCGACGCTGAAAGTGGCCGCCAGGAAGAGCGTGATGGAGACGAGGGAGCTGGCGAGCAATGGGACAAGCCACTTTCTTTCCATGACATTGAACGCTGGCTTCTTCATCCCATCAATGTCCTAGAATTCCCGTGCCAGTGACGATGATCCCATAATATTTGCGATTGATTCTTCCCTGTGGCAGTAGCCGGCAGCTGGATTTCTAGAGCCGCGATTGGATGCCGCCGGAGCTTCTCATCGATCCGAAAAAAGAGGCAGGGATTCAGTGGAAAAAGACCTCGAATCGCGAATGCATGCAGTTCACATGGGCGAATCCAGCGCTAAGACGGATCAGCGCGCGACGCCATCGCCACGCCGCATCGATCGATCCCTGGGGGCACAGCGGCAAAAAAAATGTGCGGTGAATCCCTGGAACCCTAGACGAGAAAAAAAAAAAGCGTAAACCAGAATAAAATAGGAACTGGATCTAACGGGGCAGGCTGCGCCACGCCATTAGGACGATATCTACAGATTGTCGTTCGATGCCGGCATCGACGGCAGAGACGCTGCCATGCAAACGGTAAAATGCAAACACGTGGCTGGAATCTAAGTGTGTCGGGACGTGACTGCAATAATTAGAGTCTTTGGTTTTAAAATTAGCTAAGCTAAAATTTTTGGTAAAACCTTCTTAAACTTTGGTGTCGTTGTTGTTCTTTGATTTTCACTCATTACATCCAGGTAAAGTCTTATGCTTCATAGTTGGGCACAAGTGTGCTGTACCCAAACTATATATATATATATATATACAAGTGTGCTGTACCCAAATATATATATTTAAATATAAAAAACAGAATCAATCCATTTACCTAACACCAATAATAATTTGGCTACCTGAAAATAATATCTATACTTACTAAGAATATTCAAATTATAACCCAACGTATAAATCATTTTCATTGATCTTGTTATAATTATTTGATGATATTAGATTTATTTTAGATCTCATGCTTCTTCAATCTCTTATATATCTTTAGCTAAGTTTCAAGATATTTGTTATCAGGATATGTTTTTTCTATTTTTACCATAGTTGTTCATCTAACATCTTTCAGTGTTGAGAACAAGTCAGCTCTTCCTTCTAAGTTTATTGACTTTATCATATATTTACTATCAAACTTTGTTAACATACCAATTTTCAGCTCAAAATTAGAAAATCTTTGTTGGTGCTGAAGATTTATTGACTTGGTATGACTTCCGTAAAGCATCAAGATTTGGTAGAGTTAAAGAAAAACATTTGCAAAGCCATCAAGCAGAGTGTTCAAAATGTCAAGAGTTTATTATTGAGAGAAGTTGAGATGATAAAACTATTGATAAAATAATAAAGAAAAGAATTAAAAAATGGAAACTCTAACAAATACAAAATTAAAACTTTTTATTGCATATTTTTTCCTTTATACCCATGAGTTTCCTGATCCATGAGTAACTACCATCACTAGTAATAAAGTGCAAAGAGCAACATAAAAAGTAGTCAAATAGCCCTTCCATTGACAATAGTAGAGTTGAAATCCAAAATCTATAAAGCTCATTTATTAAGTTCTGAGTGTTTTAAACCAAGTATTGCAGGAAAACCAAACTTTCTCTTCAGCAAACAGAATGATTTAGAACCTTTTGTGTTGTGCTATCACTCTCTCAAATTTTTGTAAATATTACTAATGTAAATTATTTAAGTTTAGCTAATATTATTAAAGTTTTAATAATATTTATTATACACAAGAAAACAAAGCATTACTTTAACACAAATTGTGGAATTTAGTTTTGGCCTCAAGAAATGTTGGTGTGAAGCATTGGACTATTTTATTTCTTCACAAAAGTATTGGTGATAAGAACAAGTTAATCTCACATAAGAACAAGTTAATCCGTCTGTTCCTATTCAAGTGTTGAGTAAAAAATATAATATAATATTAGATATATTTTAATAAAAATATATATTTGTTAAGGTTTTTATTAAGATAAACTTGTATTAGTATAAAAAACTGAATTATTTATGAGGTTTCTATAAAATTAATACTATGGCAATCCATATATACTGCATTTTTTTCATGCTTTTGTATTCATATTTTATCGCATTTTGTGAACGGCAATAAGGTAAGAGTTTGAATACCAATATCCAGTTAATTTATGGAGTCTAATTAAACAAAATGTTAACTAGTGTAATCATATAATTAATGTACAAATTGATGTGTAAATAAAGCAGAAACTGATGCTAGATATTGATATTTTCTTTTCCTTTTATGAAGGACATTAGTTACCATTTTATAATATAGATAAAAAAAGATAATAAGTTAACATCTTGACTTATTTAATGTTGAAAGAGATTTCATTCCTAATGAAGATAAGATATGTAGAATGATATTACAACATGATAATGTTGGTGGATATGAAAATTGATATATTCTTTTAATATATTTATTTTGTGCAAATAAATTCTAAGTAGACTGGTTTAGGGTCCGATTAACCTTACCTTTTTAACTATATTTTTTCTTTTTTAGTCTTTAAATCTTGAATTTATAAATATCAGATTAATCGTATTACCATTAAATGGTAAAATAATTTATAATATATTAGAAAGTGATTAGAAAAGTTTATAAATTGTAAACATGTTTATAAATTATAAATACAAAATTAATCCAAATGGATAACAAGCATATAGATATCCTAAAATATCCAAGCATATTATAAATATAGTCATTAGCCCCTTTACCAGCTTAAACAAACCAAAAATCAAAAAGTGTATGGCTGAAACCATTTAAAGGCTCTTTTAGAATAATGCTATTCTCTTGTGAATTTATGTTATTATAATATAAGCTTATGAGTTTGTTACTTGTGGTTTATAAATATTAATATGTATTTTTAATAAGCATATATATATAAATAATTTCTTTTAAAAACTTTTAAAAGTTTAAATTGGTTTTTAGTGATTTCTTGAAATGATTCTTGAAGCAGATATAGAAGTAGCTCAAGTCACACATAAAATCATCCGTTGTTGCCACCTTGTTCCAATGCTAAGCCTCCAAAAGAAGGTGAAAGAAAACAAGACAGCTGCTACCAAGATACTGGATGGGAGATCATCAAGAGTTCCACAGACCGTAAAGCCTATCAATATTGTAATATTTCATATGTTGCAATATATAGTGAAGGAATGTAGGGGAATATCACCAACTTGGCTACTATTTTTATTCTTGTTTTTGCTTCTGTTTTGGCATGATAAAGGCTTACTTTATGATGAGAATGTGCACAGAAGTGGTGGTAACTCCTTCATTTTGTTGAGGCCAAATAGTTTTTAGTGAAGCACTTGCTTAGACATTTTTAAGTTATAATCAAGTTTGAGTTTAGATTTGTTATTTTCAAGAAGATTTTTTTTTAAAAAAATATAATAACCATGAAAAACGAGTCTAAGAAAAGAACAAAGAACAGATGTGGCAAAAAAGTTTTGTGCGCAGCATTGGTGTTTGTCGTAGAATCCTGACTTTTGGAGCAACCAGGTGCTCTCTCGTAACATCTAGGTAATGAACAAATACGGATAGAAAAGAAAGCCTGGAGCTTACCAAGTTACATTTTTACCAAGTATCCACTGCCAGATCCCCCTCAAATTGATGTCGCCACATTTGGTGGGGTACAGCGTACACTCGGAGAATCTTCGCGCACAGAACCTCCTCCTACGGTTAAGAGAACAAGGACGAAACCCGGTGAGCGACGTGTCACACGTAAGCTTCTCACCACAAAAGAGAAGCGATAGTTCCACTTCCTACGCGGGGTGGCGGACGTACCACCACCAAGTTAGCCATGGCTGGATGGAGGTATCCTGCCACTTTAGTACGGGAATGATAAGCTCTCGGAAAAAAGATAGTTTGTTTCTTCTTACTTTAGCTGCGATAGCGTCTCTTCCCAGTCCGTTGCATTTGGAAATCCGGTTGATGATGGCAAATCGGTGTCGCTGTCGACGCAAGCAGACTGGCAAAGCTTCGCGCTATAAGCACAAAACGATGGAAGAGCAAGCGAGCTTACCTCGTTGTCTTTTGGTTCTTCTTGCTCGTTTTCGTCTCGTTCGTCGCCAAGTAGCGGAAGAAGTTTGAGTTCTTCGATCTTGCATCTCTTTTCTCCCTCTCGCCGCTTGATTCTCGCAGGAAGAAGCGATGATTCTCGACACAGCCGATGATTCTTACTCGCTCCAAGCTGTTGTCGACGGCGCCTCGTCCTCGTACAATCACTCTCCTCCTCCTCTTCCTCCCAGCGGCTTCATCCACCTTTCTCCTGTTGTTTGCGTGCTCGAGCCATGCGCTGCTTGTTCTTGCGCTTGCTGCTGCCAGTGTCCATGGTGTTGGAGTGAAAAAGCCGCTCCTTTCCAGGTCCAGTGGGTTCTCGAGCAGCAACAGTGCGAGGAGCTCGATCGTAGCGGGCTCTTTCTCCTCAGCCAGTGCGCTGCTGCTGCTGCTGCTGCTATGGAGAACTTCACGGATTCCTCGCCACCACCTATTGACGCTGCTGCGGAAGACGAGCGTGCTGCCTTCTTCTACAGCTTCACGGACGGCTGCCTGGCTTCGATGGACGACGCCATCGTCGCAGACGAATGCTGGAACAGCCTGCTCGATCCCAGAGTCTTGCTGGAAGAAGAAAAGCAGCAGTGGGGAAAAGTTGCTGCCTCGACACCACCAGTGAATGTCCGAGCCCAGGAAACCAAGTTTCAGTGCGGCGATGGAAATTGTCAAGAACATGCCCGCCAGGAAAACGCCAGGTACGAAGAGAAGCGCTGCTCTCTTTCATGATCCGATCTCCGGTGCCTGTTCTTCCAGGATCCGGGAGTTCCGTGCAGCGTTTAAGCGGGCTCTCCGGGACAACTTGGTCATCGACGTTGATGCCGCCACGGACGTCAAGGTAAGTGAAGAAGCCACCTTCCTTTCAAGAACTTGGAGGAAAAAGAAAAATCTCTCACCGGGTTTCTTAGAGATCTTCTCCAGTGCGAAGTTGTGGATGACGACGACGACTTCACACTTCCGGGGCTCCGGGACTATCACCCAACCATGGATCCACTCCAGAGGAGTCCAGAAGTAGCCGGAGGAGTGGAGTCTAGGAACAAGAGAGTTCGCAAGACCCAGTCGGATGATAGCTTCCTCGTGGACGCGCTTCGGCGTAAAAAGGCAAGAACCAGGCTCGACTTCCACATCCCCGAGGCCGATGTTTACGCGATGCATCCGGCTTTGCTCCTGCGAAATTCTCCAGGTGAGTCACTGGAGAGCTGACAGAGAAGAAAATTCTCTCCATCCTGTCGTTCCTCTCTACTCTACTAGAATTCTACCACGGATGTGTTCGTCTTTGTAGCTGGAACGCGATATTTCTTCTCGAGGACGAAATATTACTTCTGCCGGCCGGCG